AGCTGCAGACATTAGAAACTACTTGCTTTAAACCCCCACAGATCTATAATAGACTGGCATATATGTCTACAACAATCTAATCCTTCATGAGGTCAGCTTCCAGACGTAGATGAACAATTTTTGTTTTTTGCCCCACGGCTAGTTTTACACAGCAAGCTTTTCTTTAAAGTTCCCTCAGAGCAGAAACTCGCAGGAGGCCAGATGTAAGAAATTATCAGACGATGTTTTAAAAATATAAAATGTAAAAGCGATATAAAGCTAAGGAAGAGGGTTTATTGAAAATATACGTTGTGTAAAATAATGTGTTCCAAATTTGCAATCATACATATATTTCTGGAAAACAAATAGGTATTGCTAAATAAGTAGATTTTCATAAATTGTGGCAGCCGGGGAAAAAAACTATCTTGGGGAATTAATGACGTTATTTCGCAACCTTTGACCTATATTACACACGTGAGATGTAAACAGTTGATATTTCAAACTAAAAGCGACTCCGCTCTTACTAATGGTCTAGTCAGCATTCCAGCCTAGCGATTCAGCTGTTTTTTATTTGTTACCTAGGAACTGTGTGGTTGCTGGTGATGATATACAGTGATCAATAGTTGAGATCGAACTACAGATTCTTCGGTGCCGTTTGCATCCAGTGATTTATCTTTAAATAAAGTTATTCCAGAGGGATTGAATTTTTTTTTTATGTGACTGAAAAAAATCAATTAAAAAAACTGCATGTTGCTAAAGGGGTACAATAAAAATGTCGGTCGATAATTATCTTAATTTTCACAAGGTGCATTACTTTAATACAGTCAACAAAAATAAAACGCATTCTTTTCTATTTCAGCTGGATATTTTAAAATGGTAACGTAGTGATACATCGCTGTTTGATATTAAGCTAGTTCGCGATCCAGGGATTAGAATTAAAATCTGGAAAAAAAAGTTATTAGTTTTTCTTGATGACGAAGATTAAAAAAAACGGGGTTTTTTTTGTTTGTATTTTTGGCATACTGAACGTTTTTTTTTTAAGTACTACTGAGCGAGATGGGCTCTAAGAGACTGTTTTCTCTTAAACTAAAGATAACTAAAGAAATGACATCATCGGAAATGTACTTCTCTCTCAACAAAATTAATGACCATCCCATAGTGTTTCATCGTGTAGAATCATAGCAGTCCCACCCTGGTTTATTGTGAAAGCTAGGGGGAGAAATATCACTTCATCGGGCTGTGTAGTAGACTGCCGCGAGAAACCCAAAAAAAAAAGTCTATAAAAACAAACTAAAAAAATCAATCCTACTAGCGACAGTGTCTGTATTGCTGGAAGAAACCAAACCTCATGAACAACTCATGAGGCTTTCGTGGACTATGCAGCTACTGGGATCCAGATAATCAAAAATGGCTTTCGGCAGATTTATGCATCGCTGACCATAATGTGACGGATTCCGGGGCAATTTTTTTTTCCTTTTCGTAACAAATCGTGCTGTATTTCGACACCAGATGAAAGAAGACGTCTTCTAGCCTAGACAAAGTTTCTGGCAGACATAAATACGAAGGCAAAGAAAATATAGATAGTAATAAACGAGACAAGCCCGGCTTAAGAAGAGAGAACCAAAGGGTAGGATACTTTCCCAGATAAGTGAAGCGAAGGGTGTAATTTGAAAAAAAAAAGCTCTTAATTTTAAAAGTCGCCTTGTCTTTTTTAAGCAAGTTAATCGATAGACTATAAAGGAATGTGGTTTTTTTTTTTTCTCTATAAACCCAATAAACTTTGTAGCGGTTATACGGAAAGGAAAGCATCGTATTTGCCAAGATCATAGTCAGGGGGATGCGGACCGCACCAGGTGACACCATTTAGGGGGGGGGGGGGGTGACACCAAGGCAAAAAATAGCAAAATATATAGAGAAAAATTTGAGGGGGGTGCAAATCGAAAATTTGAAAGCTTGTCCCCGGGAAGGGTCGCTACGCCTCTGGGGGGTGACACCATTGAGTGGCGCACCGGGTGACACCCGACCTCGCTACGCCACTGGCAAATATCTAGGCCTATCATTCTACACCAGTGCTTTGAGATCGCTCATATATCAAGCAACGTTTGCCCATTTTATCCTTCCCCATCCCCCCAATTCAAACCCATTTCAAATAACGTATCTATAACTCCTATATGAACAATTCTTTTCGTATATTGTCCCCCACGCAAAATGTACATATTACGTCACATTTCTGAAACACCCCCCCCCCCTCCGCATGCAGTATATCGTCACTAAACTCCTCGACCTAGATGTATGACGACCTAGATTACATGTGTGACGACCTAGATGTGTGACGTACTTTTCTATCAAGCGTGAAAAAGACAATTAACTTCGAATCAGCATAAACCAGAACCCTTATCTAATAATCGTTATCTGTTTCGGGCTTTGCAGAAAAGTACAATTACACAAGTGGTCATTCTCTGCTGATTATGGGACTCTATATACACACATAGACATCCCATCCCAAGAAAATAGAGGGAATGTGTGCCTCCATATACAGTTTATTATACTGCAGATTCTACAATGTAAAAAAAAAAAATCAAAATTATTTGATTTTATGTTGCAGGGCCCTAAATATTTAACAGAAAACATTTATAACAATTTATGTCTACTCAGACAGGCCTGCTGACCTCTGCCCTATAACACCAGGCAAACATTATATAGAGAAGTTAAAATGTAAATTTGTCATCATTGATCTTTTTCCCCCTCCCAGTGGAAAATGGATCAGGTCAACGCCTGGGGAGGAGTGGAGGTCTTGTCTATATATGACATCAAGCAATTGCTGCTTTTTACCCCAACCTGATGGTTACTAAGGTTTGACCTAAAAATCTGGGGAGGGAGGGTTCTTTAAAAGTACGAGATATATTATGTGCTTTATTTTAACCCATCACCACCCTCCAACACGTAAAAAGAACATTCACCCCCCCCCCCCTACCCACCTGTGTGCATCTTTATTAAATAATGAATCTTGCTTGATATTGATACATTTGTGTGGACACTTTAATGCCAAAAAGATTGTATTTGCTGCATGAGCAGATGTCCACACAAAGTATCAGACCATAGAGAATTAAGATGAAATACAAGGTGACTAAGAATTATTGTGTGTGATTGTATAAAAATTGTCAATAACTTTAGTTTAATTATTTAAATTAGGGCCTAATGATATTATTTTCTAGCTTTTAAATAATTATTTTAATACATTTTTTTTAAAACTAAGTTAACAAACAAACTTAAAGCTAAACCTGATGTTAAACAAATCTAGAGTTTATACAATAACACAGTCAGTGTAAAAAAAAAGAAAGTTATTTCATTAAGATAACTATTAACCTGTTCTATGTGAATGCAGTAGTTTTTATTTTAGGCAAGATGTTTAAAAACAAGTTACAATGATATAAGATAGTGTGTAGCCTTGGTAATGATGAGAGAAGGGGAGGTAAACCAGCAGGATTTAACTGTTTCAATAAATTTTTATAACTAGTGTTGATATTAGTTTTATTTTAATAACGTTAAAATCTTGTATTTATTTGTAATTAAAGTTAGATGAACTTTATTTTATTTAATCTTGTATGATAGATAATTTATATTAAACAGTTTTTAAGTAGGGCCTCTATAGGTTTAAACATTTATAAATGAATCTTTACCTTCCAAAATAATTTTTTTAAAATTTTTTACATTTTCAATGTTAATCAATAACTTGTAGAGTTAACAGCAAGTTAATAGAAAAAAAACATTTTTAAATAGTTAAATTGAATCAGGCATATTGAATTACACAGTTTCAATCTAAAGTAGGTCGTATGCATTGGGTGTCACAACACCTGACTACCCATTTTTAACAGTAGCATATTTAAGTACATAAGACAACCTTTATATTGATATTTGTCTTTTAAAAGTCAGCAGTCTTTTAAGTCATTGCATTACTGAGGTTTGAAAATATCATTTGTACAACTCGTTTTTAAATGTTCAAATACCAGGATAAAACATATGAAAAAAAAATGGACAAGAACCAACATACTCATTTTTCTTTAGGGCCAAAATATTTGCATTTTCAGGTGCTAACTAATAAATAAATAAATAATGAATAATCATATATGTGTACTTGTTTTAAATTATAACTCTTTTATTAAATGAAAATACATCCTCTAAAGGCTAACTACTTAATCCTAAAGAAAACATTGGTTTCCCATTATAACTTAAAATTAACTGAAGGGCAGGAGAAAATACTACTATGCATTTTGAAATAATGACATACAATGTGATATAAAATTATCAGATATTGGATAATAGGCCTTAGTGCATTGTGTTAGTGTTAGGCTACTAAATAGAGAATTTAACAATTAAAATGATTAGTATAATATATAAACTGAGATAAAGCTAGGAATTATTCTAAATTACAATAAACAGTAACATTTTGTAGACCTTCATTATAAAAGTTGCTGATGTAAGAAATATAGGCTATTGATTAGTTGAAAAAAAAAGTGGACTAATTTCTGAGTAGGCCTACTTAGGCAATGCAGTTATATTATCTCTAGGCATCTAAATAAAAACAGTAGGATTAGGTCCAAAAAAAGATAGGGCCTACAAATATTTATTTAGTAGGCCTATTACAACTTGTCACACACTTGGTCACTCATGTCTGGACTCACTGCACTACTGATAAATGCAGTAATATGTGGAGTTAGTATTTTATTAACAAATTTTTAGTATTTTATTTTGGATGAAAGTGTGCATTTTTTACTAAACTACTTACATTTTAGGTCTACTACAAAAGTGACTACGTTTTTTAAAAGGGGGCGGAGGGTGGGGGTGAGTGAGCAAATTCATGTTTTGCTGAATGACAACATGAAATTGGATTTGTGTGAATGAATACAATCTTGATGCAGGCATATAGATCGAGAGTCTAACTATAAATGGAATAAGAAAATATAAAACAATGCAATCAGCTAATCCAATTTAAAATAATTTAATACAGACTATCAACATACCAAGTGCAACACAGTGTCAACAACATCCTTATTCGACGCCTGCTGCAACTCAACCAAACCGATAAGCAATCCAAATTTTAATTCGTCATTGCCTGTTAATTTTAATATTCCTTCAACAGTTTTTACATCCGCTTTTGTCTCCTCTTCTGCTTGAGACATTGTGAAATAAAAACACTTTCACTAAATGCAAATAATAAAATAAATAACTTCAGTCATTAGCAACAGTCGGTTTAGCAAGCATTCATTGGCTTTGCTATACGCCGACAAAATGTAACTGCGAGATTACTTCCGTGTTTTTGGGGCACATCGTACGTGTAACTTGTGATTGGATGATTTATTTTTGTAGTTTGAAAATGTTATGAATTTGTACGCTATAAAAAGCGTAATTTTGATTTAGGTTAAATATTTAACCATCACTGAACGCATATTAAAAAGCTAGAATATTATATTTAATTAAAATTTAATATTGAATGTTAAAACTATAGAAAAGGTTCATCTAGTTATCCACAGCTTAATTAAAGTTAAATAGCAAATTTCGCACATATTATACAACATCCATGTTACTTGTCAATGTTACACACTATTTAAATTTATAACAATTCGATTAATATATAATAGTTTCAATATGTATTGTAGTGATTTCTCTTAGGCATATGAAAGACTTTTCGTGTAACGTGCATTTATAGTGAAGAGTTTCAGATTTGTGTTTGTTGCCTTGGTAACATAACTCAATTGTTTTATTTTTTTCCGCGAACTAATATTAAGGCCATTTAAGGCCTATATCAACATTTCTATATGATTCTTTTATTTATCTGCATTCCTAAATAATAAAAAATATTTCTCTAGGATTTTTCTTAGCTATATTATCGAGACACATATGCATATAAATTTTTAATGAAATGGCTTTATATTTAGTTGTTAAAATGTGTTCTTTCTTGTGCGGCGTCAAAACGGCCAATGATAAAACGACCCCCGGTACACCATAACTACATGTAGTCTTCTCGATTAAAATTTATCCTGAAAATCCACGCAACAAAAATAGTTTTGATAATTTCAAAACAAATGTACACAAATGCAAACATGTCCTATTTTTACTCGATCGTTTTGCAATGCTACACTATCATCGTGTAGCCTACATTGGCTGATAATGCCCTTTTAATATTGTTATAAATTACTTGATTAAATAACTGGAAAATGTTAACAGGATTGTCAAATTTGAAGTATTAAAAACCGCTTAGCATATCCGTCGTCAAATGCTGCGTTGTTAATAAAACTCGTTGTGAATAACTATATTAATGCCTTTGTCGCAAGTTTCTAAAGATATTATTTCAAAAACAATGTAAGGTTATGACTTATATTTTAAAAGCACTTAGACTACATTCAGTGTTTCTTCCAGACTTTTTTCTCCGGGGGGGGGGGGGGGCACTTGAAATAAATTTTCGGGGGGGGGGGGGGGGGGCGGTAAACTTTCTTCGGGGAGGGGGGGGGGGGGCGGACACTGTTAAAAGTATATATTTTATAAATTATATAAATTTCATTTCGTTCGGGGGGGGGGCGGTAAAAAAATTTCGGGGGGGGGGGGGGGAATCGAAGAGAATCCTGGAAGAAACTCTGGCTACATTCTAATTCATTTCTTGTATTATTGTTTTATTGCCACTTTTTTAAAACAATAAAGCAGGCCGTAGGGCCTAAATCATTTGAGTCTGACAAATCATCAATTGTCGACCATGAACAATAATTTGCTTTGAAAATATAAAGTGAGCTTGATCTGGTGGTGGCTAACTTTTTTTGATCGAGCGAGTGAGTGTTTTTTTCTTCTTCTAAAATCATATTTGCCTTTATGCAGGCCTAAGTTTTTTTTAACCGAATAATGTTTTTAGAAAGACGAATCTTAAGAACTTAGCAAAATTTTAATTCTCATAGTAAGGGTATTTTTGCTGAGGTTGGAACCATTCAAGAGAACTATATTATGTAGCTGAAAGAGTAAAAACTTTGTTTTATATTTACTTCGATTATCGTCGATTTCAGATTGCAACGGTTAATTTGTTGGCATAGGACGGCGTGGCCGAGTAGTAGTGCGCTTAACTGCGATCCCGAAGGTGTAGAGTACAGATCTCGGTTCGGATTTATTATTTTATGACGTCACTGTGCCCACTCAGCTCTGGTGGATACTTGATTTACTTGCTGATCATACTATCTCTTCAATTTACTCTTCATATGTCGAATTAACGAAGCCATGAACTCTGTTTATTTCTCAAATGGAATGGATCGCTGTCTAAAGAGAAACTTTACATAATTCGTCGGTGGTCTCAGTTGTCGACTTGGTAAAAAGTAAAAAGGAAATTTAGGCGTGAAATAAATTATGGTTAGGCTCCGGTGCTGATATGTTTGTAGATAAGCTCATTGAGAAACCAATCATATGTAATAGACGGACTAATAATAGGAATCCTTCTGTTCCATTTTTGACAAATCTTAGAAGTCGTCCATAAATTACGTCACGCACCTGGGAGGGGGGAGGGAGTGATCGGGTTTAGTAACGATGTGTGACAAAGTGGAGTGCGCAGATTTAGAAAATATGACGACACACTTTTGCGTTTTAAAAAGTAATGTTAGAAATCAAATTATAGCCGTTATTTTAAAAGTAATTTTTTTTCGTACATTGTAATTTAAAATATACATTACCGGCCTACTCAATGTTAATGGAGCTCAGTAGAAACATTAAATAAATCGCTGAATTGTTTTAGGGGTCATCCATAAATGACGTCACGCTTTTTTGACGATTTTTACCTCCCCTCCTTCCCTCCGTCACACGTCGTCACAAAAAAGCCAGACCCACCCCCCCCCCCCTAAATTGACGTCACACCTCAGCCTACAACGCCCTCAAAATTGCAGTTGTTTTTTTTATTTAAAACATCGATATTTTTCTGAAATCTTGTCAGAACTCTGTCAAAATAGAGTATTTTAATCAATTCCTATTACAATTTATTAAAACAGTTTTCTAAAACGAGAAATAACGTCTAAAATTAGTTTTCTAACATTGCCTTTTTATAATGCAAAAGTGTGACGTCGCACCATCTGAACCCCCCCCCCCCCTCTCCCCCTCATCACAAACCTTCACAAAATTACGGACCCCCCCTCCCCCCTACGAGCGTGACGTCATTTATGGACGACCCCTTATTTTAAATGTTCCTTTTTGAAGTCTTTTGTGACGATGTGTGACGGGGGGGGGGGGGGGGGGGATAAATATATAAAAGCGTGATATTGTTTATGTATTATAGCTTAGCCTCTTCCCCTTTCTTCGTTCTTACCTGTAATGTTGGGCGGGATATCCTCCAACACAATTAACCATTACATACGTGCCAATCTATTTTGCTATTTCAGTCTGCTCCCCCCCCCCCCCCCCCCCCCGCATTTCCACTGTCCATTCAATAATAAACTACAAAACAGCAGTTGTTTGACTTTGGAATTGCTCATCTCGATCTAGATTGGTTATTGTTCCAAGCCATCGCGTCTCACTCATCTGCTCGGGTTTTGAACTCGAAACTTTTCGATTTAGCAACCATGTGCTTTATCAACCCGGCCGGAATGTTTATGATAAATATAAAAGTGTGACCGAGCATAGTGTGCATATTTTTTTAGAAATATTTTTTTTACGATTTAGAAAGATTTGTTATAGATCTAGATCTACTTGGACGAATGGGAAAGCGACAAAGCCAACATGATTGGCATAGTATTTCAGTCTTTTAAATCGATGCCTTACTTTTTACGAGTGTTTAAACTACAAATTTTCTTATGTTTTGGCAACTAGCCTAATCAAGCTATTTTTAGGCACAACTGAGTAACATTGCACTTCCTCTTTACTTGTTCTATTTTAGCTCACAGTGTGAATAAGATTTGGGATTTTTTTCTCTTACTATTAATGGCTACTGAAGTAGAAAGAGTGAGTATTACAAAATTTAGTGATACATTGAACAAATGTTAGCTCTACATAATTTATGGATTCTAGACATAAAATGAAAGATCAGCGGTTAGCCTAGCGATTAAATTAATTATGTTTGAAAAACGACCGCCGGTGTTTCACCGAGTTCGCCCTGCTAGCTTCCTTAACCCAGGCTTGACCAAGTGTTGAATGATGCCTCTGCACTAGATCTAGATGTAGTCTAGCAGTATGCAGACTGATGAGTCATCTCAACTTGCTTCATTTAGGCCTAACTTAAAAAGACTAAGCACTATGCAGAAGTATTTTAATTTAGTGCTAGATTTATAGTGGCCTACACATTCACATTCATTCAATTTTCAATTCAATCATTGGCAATCATTGCAATTCAATTGCAATACAAGTACAATTCAAATATTTCAATTCAAATAGTACTCAAGTACAATATTATATTATTATTCCTAGTCAACTTCTAGCATTCAGTGTGAGAGTGTGGCATTACTTAGGGCGACTTAGGCCTACTTACTTACTTAGGAGGCCTATAATTATAGTTTTCAATAATACTATACTTAATACTATACTTTTACATTGCAGCATAGTCTATTATTATTATATTAATATTATTAGCCTAGACCTATTATATTATTACGAGATAAATGGCCCATTAACTACTAAAGACTCAAGAGGATTCTTTAAATATTTTACTTAGGCCTATTAGTAGATCTAGTCAGCTAATTAATAGTCATTTCATAATTGATGGGCAATTTTTATGAGTAGTTTTAGTTTTATACTTTATGGATTTAGGCCTACTTGTTGTGCTATAGTTATTATAGTTATAGACAATAGTGATAGTCATATTTATTACTAACTATAACTAAATATAGGCCTATAGCCTAAACTTAAACTAAAAAATACTAGGGGGACGTCACATTTTCACATCAACAAAAAGTAATGTTAGAAAACAAATTTTAGCCGTTATTTCGTGTTTTAGAAAACTGTTTTAATAAATTGTAATAGGAATTGATTAAAATACTCTATGTTGAGAGAACTCAGATAAGATTTTGGAAAAATATCGATGTTTTAAGAAAAATTAAACTGCAATTATGAGGGGAGTTGTAGGCTGAGGTGTGACGTCATTTTAGGGGGGGGGAGGTCTGGCTTTTTGTGATGGAGGGGAGGGGGGGGGGGGGAAATCGTCAAAAAAGCGTGACGTCATTTATGGATGACCCCTAAGCCTATTCTTTAAGTTTACAGAGGACTTAAAATTAAGGGTTAAAGTACTTAGTAGTTTAAGTTAGGCCCTTCCTTAAATATTTGAATTTTATTTAAAAAATTTTGGGCCTACTTATCACTGCTTCTTAAAAGTTCTTAGTCGCCTGCCTTAAGAAAATATAGCAGGGCTTAAATAGGATTAGGCTTATTTTTTTTCATTCAAAATTTTAATATATTGAATTAAACTTCATTCACTGATAAACTTTAAATATTTGCTTGCTAAATTCAAACTTAAGTTAGGCTCTTGTACTATGTTTATCTATATTAGCTGTGAACAATTGAAATTATGATAATTATCATTATGACCAGAAAACTGCCACGAGTTGCTTTTAAATATCATTAGGCCTACATTGTTTAAAGTTGTGGGAAATTTGTTCATACTATTGATATAATATATCCTTAAATTTGTATTTTATATATTGTATAATATATATCATTTTCAGAGTTTTAGCAGATAAATTTATCTCACAGCAAACTTAATATTTTTTGCAGTCTCCTGCGCTGTCGCTTGCTGAAATGGTGCGTTCTTTAAACTTGACCGGCCATGTTGGCTTTGACAGTTTGCCTGATCAACTTGTAAACAAATCAGTTTCCCAAGGATTCTGTTTCAATATATTATGTGTTGGTATGTTTTATTCTTTTTTTATTTATTTAAAAAAAAAAAAATTTGTTTTTTAAAAGTAAAACAGGAATTGGCTGTGATACCAATTGACTATTTTATCAGTTCTCATTCTGTTTTAAAAAAAAATTCTACATCATGTTTCTAAAAACATTCATTATTATTAAGTTACGAGAAAAATGGCCCGTTGAGGAAGGATACACCGGGCGCTAGGTTGATAGTGCTGTCTCTTTTCTCTAAACTAAAACCAACCCACCCCCCCCCACACACACACCACCCCCCCACCCCCCACACCACCCCCCCCACCCCCACACACCCCCACCCCACCCCCATCCCCCAAAAAAAACATGTCTACCGTCCCATTCAACGAAATATAATTATATACTTTTTCCAGTGTCCACCCCCTCCCAGAAAATTCTACCCCCGCCCCCGAAAATTTCAAGTACCCCCACCCCTCTCCGGGGAGGAAAAAGTCTGAAAGAAACACTGAAACCAACCCACCCCCCCCACACACCACCCCCCCCCCCCCCCACACCACCCCCCCCCCCCCCCCAAAAAAAAACCATGTCTACCGTCCCATTGCAAGAAAACCACTTTTTAGATTAGACACATTAATTAGGCGGTAATTTTATTATAGAGTATCGATGAGGAAATTTCTTTTGAGTTGGGGAGGGGGGGGCTCAGACGTTCTTACGCGGGGGTGGGGCTTCGCCCCTACCCGAAGAATTGTATGAAAGAAACTCTTCACGCAAGCCACTTAGATTAGACCAAACACTCGATAATCAATGACGTCATATTAATGTGTGCACTATCCGGCTTGAGATTATTTTCTACTCTGTGCTAAATGTGTCGACGTCATACTTCGTTTTTCGAATTACTATGCATGTTTTTATTTTCCTTGTGTTTTCTCTAGAGCGTTCTTGTCAGATAGATAGATAGATAGATAGACAGACAGCGAAACTATTAGTATTAATTTTGGGGGAAAAAAATGTGTTATTCACATAATTATATTTCTCTAGCTTTTAACTACAACAGTTGTTTGAATGAATCTTGAATGTGTCTAACCTTGAGTAATGGATTATTTCAGGTGAAACTGGTATTGGAAAATCTACAATGATGGACACTTTATTCAATACAAACTTTGATTCCACACCAAGTACCCATGATCTGCCTGGAGTTAAGCTCAAAGCCCATACATATGGTAAATCTTTTGTTTTGCATGAATAACCATAATGATATTTCTTTTTTTAATTTTGAAGTATATATCAAGTATAATTTAAAATATATGGACAATCTTAGATAAATATTTTGTAAATAGAAAAAAACAGTACTAGTAAATTTGATGCTAATGAACCGTTTAGTGTATTTGTTTTATTTGTTGTAGAGATCAAGTATAATAATTCAGAATTAAAGTTTTCATAAATTAGCAAATCCTACTGATTGATTGTATGTTTTTTCAACTGCTAATCCATTTCTTAATGAAACTGGCTTCACAATTTTCCAGCATTTACTTTACTTGGTCTCTATTGTTAAATTTAAGATTTCAGCATTATAACATATTTTTTACATTCACCCCTTTCAATTCTAATTTTTTTTATTATCATTAACTTAAGTATGTGATCTCCTGATGCATAATGATCACGATCATTTAAAATGTTTTAAAATTCATTAAAGGGTTTATTGTTTTAGCTTTTCAAAAAAAAATTGTTCAACAGAAAACTAGAGGTCTTATAATTGTTTTCCTATGAGGAAGGTTGTTTGTGTCAGACAGCGACTCAGTTTAAGCATATGTTCTTAGTTGTAGAACATTTTGTTTTTAATTAAAACTGTGTACTGCTTAAAGTTGGATTTGTTTAGGGTGTGCGAATTTCAAGAAAGGCTCAGCACATTGCTAACAAGTCATTGTGCAATTAAAAGTGACAAACTTTTGTACTGTAGTAATGAAATGTAACACTGGGTGCACATTTTCAGATCTCCATGAGAGTAATGTTCGCTTGAAATTAACTATAGTTGATTCTATTGCTTTTGGCGATCAAATCAATAAGGAGTCTAGGTAAGGTTATATTTCAGAGTAACCTCCCCACTGGGTAAGAAACTGTGGATAAGCTGCAGAGAATTGGTGTTGGTTCTTACATTGTTGGCTTGTTAATATTATTCATAGATTTAGTTCTGCTTATCTAGCAAAGTAAATCTTTCTTGTACTTAACTCTTTCAGTAGAAGTACAAGTTTATCAACAGTTGTTACTCAACATTTAAAAACATTTTTTTATTATAAATATTAGCTAAACCTTTTTTTTATATCTAGGAACAGTTCAAGTTCATTTCTTTTATTAACAAGTTAATTTCCATCTCTGTGTTTTCATCTCTTTAATTGCAACGTACTATAATGTTAAGAGTTGACATTAAATTACTTTATTTTCTGCAGACTCATCCTTTTTCTCCCAGATTCAAAGCATAAGCCTTTCAACATAACATATAGAATGCTTAACACTTTCCATCTGTTTATAGCATGGCAAAATATTCCAAATGTATTTTTTAGTCTACAAATAGTAATTGTCCACACAAGGAAATAATGTATATCAAGTATAATGAAACAATCTATTTTTAGTCATACATTTGTTAAGATTTTGTTATGCAATGGTAATGTCTTTATTTTACTGTTTATTTTTATCACTTTTGACTTACTTTGTTTATTATACTCAAAACATTGCACCGGCCACCTTTTTGTCTATCAACTTTTCTCTCTATCTCTTGTGCCCTGTTTCAGAATTACGAGAAAAGAATGTTCTTTTAAAGCTGACATTGGTGGATTCTGTTGGGTTTGGGGATCAAATTAACAAAGATGATAGGTGAGGCTTGTACAGAAAACAAAGCACACAGCATTCAGTTGTCACTGTTGTTATTTGAATGTTCTCAAGCATTGGGGAGTTAGTTCCACCAACCATTTGTCCTTGTAAATTTTTTTTTTTTTAAAGTTAGAGATATGCAATAACATGAATGTGTTTTGGGTTTCCTTTTTTAGCTGTACAATATTAGTCTTTTTTTTTTTCAAACCTAAAGTACTGCGCCATTAGACTGGTACAGATCGTATTTAGTAGCAGTTTGTCTCCCTCTTTGCGCCTATTGCTTGGCTCTCTTATGTCTGCAACTAATTATTATTTTTTTTGCATCATGTTTTAGAATCTTTAACATTTGCTTGTTTTAATAGCTTTTGCCAATATTGACAATTTCCATTTTGAACTTCGTCCACACCATTCACCCAAAACGCACTTTTTTATAATTTTTTAAAAGGATCTATGTTAACAGTAATTTTAGATGTTGTTACCTACTAATATTACTGAAATGCCTTACTGATAGTAACAAACAAATAATGCATGTTATAAATTTATTTTAAAATTTTGCTTGCCCCTAGAAGTAACATTTTAATTCAACGTGTTTTTATTTTCTGGTATTTTCTATATGATTAATTGCTATTTATTTTGTTAATCATTTTTCTATTTTCTTAAAATAACTGAATATCACGGTTTACATTAAATGAAAAGTTTAAAAGTTATCATCTATGAAAGGTAAATAAATAATTTAGTTTTTAATACAACTTGTTAAAGAAAAAAGAAAAATTTACCAATATTTCAAGAACCTTCATAACATATTTATTTTATTTTGATATTTATGAGTCACTGCTTTACTATTATTGTTAGGTTCATTACAGCTTACTGGAAAGGTATTCTTGAAGAGCAGTATATTGTGTCTCTTTTGTAGCTACAAAACTTTAAGAGAGAGTACATTAATAATTTATACATTTTTACAATTATCAAAAGGCTTTGTATAGCACGCTTAAACTAAAAATAATTTTCTAAATCAAACATTAAATTTAATGTATTTTACAATTATTAATATTTTAAGTAAGCAAATATACTTAAAAATTACAATAGGCTAATGTTTTTAGTTTGTTTTATTACTTATGTTGCTCACTGTAGTGTAGACCTATATTTAAATTTGTAAATATAAATATATTTGAGTGCTTCAAAGTTTTTGTCATCAATTTAATTCCTATACTCAACCCAAACATTGTAATTTTTAAAACTTTTGTAACTTTTCATAACTACAAAGAAATCAGTCATTTTGTTTTTTTACCAACACAACTGTTGTCCTCTTAGCTGGAAGCCAATTGTTGATTACATCGATGCCCAGTTTGACGCTTACCTTCATGAGGAGCTGAAAATAAAGCGTATGCTCCACACCTACCATGACACCCGTGTCCATGCTTGCCTTTACTTTATCGCACCAACTGGACATTCGTAAGATTGTTTTCATTCACTATTTTTGTTGGATATTTGTAGAGAAAATGTTCTACTCTGCATTTGTTTTTTATGAATTTCTGTTGCTTGTTTAATAGTTTGTATTATATATAATAAATAATACTAATTCCTGTTGTTTATTGTTACAGTTTGAAAGCCCTTGACCTTGTGACCATGAAGAAGCTTGACACAAAAGTAAACATTATTCCTGTCATTGCCAAGGCAGACACCATCACCAAAACAGAGCTTACTAAATTCAAGACCAAGGTAGTCATTTTAATGTTGTCATTGGTTTTTATTTCATAAGCAAAATATGAAGTCTGAGGATCAGTTGGTTGGTACGTGCCAAATTTGCCTAAAATTGTGTTAGCAAAGCTTAGAATAAACCTAAGTGGTTAAAATTAACTTTAGTGAATGACCTTAAATTGTATGTCCCAGGCAATCCACCATATTTAGTAGTTACAGACTTAAATATTTTTGTACCTTACAGCTTATGTCCGAACTTGTCTCCAATGGAGTTCATATATACCAGTTCCCTACTGATGACGAGACAGTAGCAGACAACAATGCTGCTATGAATGTGAGTTTTTTGTTAAGATTCTTTTAAAGTTTCTTGCCAGCTTTGAAAGAAAATTTGTTTATTTGTTTTTATGGTTTTGTCAAATAGAGAAAATCTTGTTCTCATGTTTTCATATTCAGTTTTTAATATGGATGAATTCCATTGAAATTGGGCCAGTTAATTTCTAATTCTTGTAAATAGTTATCTCTCTTAGTTAAACTGTTGGTATTTAAGTGATTTACATTAGGTGGTTTAATATTTTTTTCCCAGCAACATCTACCTTTTGCTGTGGTTGGTAGCAATGATGAAGTCAAAATTGGCAACAAGATGGTCAAAGCACGTCAGTATCCATGGGGTACTGTACAGGGTAAGTGAACTCTTTTTTAACAGATTAAAGGTCCAGTTTAACTTAAAGAAGGTATCAAAGCATTTGTACATATAAATCAAATTTACTTTAAATGTAATATAGTTTTAGAAATTATAAATCAAATTTACATATTATATTGTTTTCGACAGTTGAAAATGAAAATCACTGTGACTTTGTCAAGCTGAGAGAGATGTTAATTAGAACTAACATGGAGGACCTAAGGGAAGTCACCCATTCAAAACACTATGAGCTCTATAGGCAGCATAAGCTGGAAGAGATGGGATTCTCTGACTCTGAATCCAAAAGGTTTTTAATGGCCACATTTTATTGTAGTAGTATTAGAGCATTCAAATTGTTCACTTAATTTCTTTTTTCTGATTTCTCTGTCTGTGTATCGGGCATTAGTATTTGATTTGTATGCTGAAAATTTTTTTTCACAATTGATAGTTTGTCTGAGACTTACGAGCAAAAGAGACAAGAGCACATAACAATGCTACAGAAGAAAGAGGATGAGATGAGGCAGATGTTTGTCATTAGGGTCAAAGAAAAAGAAGCTGAACTAAAGGAAGCAGAGAAGGAGGTGAGAGATTTTATCATAAGTGTTTAAAGAATATCAATGTTTTTGGTGTATCTTTGGTAGGTTGGTGGTGTTTACTGCTTTTATATTATGTTATACTACTAAACAGGGATAGTAAAAATAATAATTTTAACCAACATTCCATTTTTACTTTGTAAGTCTCGAGTTTGGAACTCTGTATGACTTGAGTCTGTCTACAGAACATCCCTGAGTCCACCCAACTCTCACAAGGGATGTAAATACATCTGGGCATATTAACTCTTCTTCATCTGTCTAATAGTGAATGAGTTTTGAATAAATTTGATGCCATAATTTTATCTCGTTTTGTAGTATTATTATTTCACAATTATCTAATGCATAAACTACTTTTGTTGTCCCAATTAGCTTCACAATCGTTTTGATGCACTTAAAAGGCAGCACACTGAAGAAAAACGCAAGCTTGAAGACAGCAAAAAGAAGCTGGAAGATGAGATGAATGTGTTTTCTCAGCAGAAAGCTCAAGTGCAAGCTCACACATCCACCATGGGCAAGAAGAAGAAGTAAACATGTCCCGCTATTAGACACATTTCTATTGGCTGCTCTTAATCTTCATTAACAAGCATCAAGAAGATAATGCCTGATTGTTGATACAACTTGTCTTTTTAAACATTAACTGTACTTATTTGAAGATATTTCATCTCATTTAAATTTACTTATTTATTTAAATTTTTTGTAAGAATTTCACAAAATTTGTTATCATCATAACACACTTGAAAGTACAGAATGCATTACAAAATCTTTTGCAAAAAATAACCTTTTAAAAAGGACAAATCTGCACTTGAATGATTGTAATAGAAATTGGTCTTGTTTTAAAAGTGCTTTTTTTTAAATTTTCAAAACACATTTAAATGCTGTATGGGCTTAAAACATTTTACGTATGTATATTGTACATTGTGTGACATCATTAACTATGTACTTTTTCATTTAATAATTTTTGTTTGATTATAATTCACTGACATTTAAGGTAAGTTTTTACAATTTTGTGTTCCCTGACTCAATAGCTCCCTTGTTATTTACTGATTATTAAGAAAGTTTACAACATTTTTTTGTTTTGTACAATTTGGCATCTGCCCTATTAGCCTTAAAGTTTGAGAGGGCATTATTACTAGTCGGAAGAATAACCAACACTGTCTTGTTCCTAAACATAGCAAGAGCAGTGTGTAAAGCTGAAAACAAAATTATTTGCTATTATCCTAAAATGTATGTTTATCGTGTAGTGCAATAAATTTTGGAGAGTTGTTAGAACTTGTCTGCTAAGTTTTCTTGTGGGTTTCCTAAACCACTTTTTCGCAACAAGAATCTTGGCAAGAATATAATTTTCATATATTTCATTGTAAAATATCCCATTTATCTAATAATTTTTAAATCTTTTATTTCAAAAACTACTTACAAATTTCAAAAATTGACCAAAATAGAAATTGATTCCAAATAATTTGATTTTTTTTTCTTGCCACCAAAAAGTGCTTCCATTTATTGATATTCCAGCACATGGCCTTATTGTGCCATATGTTGTTGGCGATTTTATTTTAAGGATTGAAACTGACTTTGGTAAAGTATTTATTTTATGATTTTAGAGCACCAGTTAATTTTATTATTTTAGCTGTCTGTTTACTGCATGAAGTTTATGTAGTCCGATGTGTCTGTTGTGTATTAGTTGCTTAGCCTCTGCCATCATTTTGATTTTTTTTTCATAAAGCATATGCTAATTCACTATGCATTGCAAAAATTCTTTTTTTTTTGTTTAAATTATTTAGCAGTTTAAAGACTTCTGGTATATTAACCTAAGAATTTTATTTATTTGGCATTTGCTCATACACTGCATAGTATCATTCTCATCTGATGAAGTTCATAAATTTTGTAACTGCATGTGTTCATAATAAATATTTTTTACTCACTTCACAATCTTCGTGTTTTTTTTCGATATAGCCAAGAAAAATAAATGCTCAAATCGTAAAAGTTGCATATAATCAAATTAATAACTTATTTCGTTTCATTATCTGTTCAAGGTTCACTTATATTTGTTGATGGAAGAAACAAATATCTTTCTAATGATTATAATATTTCTTCAAATATTTTTTTTTACAAAATGGTTAACTTTGGATTGGAGCATTGCTAAGCATTTTATTAAATTACTCATCGGAATATTGACTTTAATTTTTGCTTGTAATTAAAATAGAAAATTTAATTAATTAAATAGAAAATAAAAAGGGAAAAACTTAGGTAGAAACAAATTTAATATTTTGAAGCTTTTTTATTAATCAAATATAATACAACATAAACAAATAGTAAAAAAAAATTAATAATATTTTTAAAAGTATTGGCATTAATTGTCAATTCACATGAATAACTTAAAAGTATTTTAAGTACGAATAAAATCAGTGTGTCCAAGGGAGGAAACTAAAATCCATCAAGCAGCTGGTGCTACCTGTATAGCATCAGTATTATGCAAGGCGAGTGTATCTCTCCTGTCTAAGATGCGGTTTACAGCCCGAGTTGCATCCCTTATATTCAAAAGGTTGTTAAGATAGATGATCAGTCGTGAGAACCGCAGTAGTTCATCTGATAGTCTTTGGCGATCCTGCTCAGATTGTACTCGAGATGGTCGTGTTGGCTGTGATAGGCTTTGTGGGCCCGTTGGCTGTGAAAGGTTTTGTGGGCCCGTTGGCTGGGACAGGTTTTGTGGGCCTGTTGGCTGAGATAGGTTTTGTGGGCCTGTTGGCTGAGATAGGTTTTGTGGGCCTGTTGGCTGTGATAGGTTTTGTGGGCCTGTTGGCTGCGATGTGTTTTGTGGGCCTGTTGGCTGTGATAGGTTTTGTGGGCCCGTTGGCTGAGACAGGTTCTGTGAGCGCGTTGTGTTTTGTGGGCCTGTTGACCGTAAAAGGTAATGTGGTCCAGCTAGATGCGAATGAAGAGGGTTCATACATTGAGGGCCAGTTGGATACGTATAAAACTGTGAGCAAGTTGACTGGCTATGTGGACCAGTTGGGTGTGAGTGGTTTAGTGGGCCAATTAGATATGCCTGGTTATGTGGTCCTGTATGACGTCCGTAACATTGTAGCCCACCAGCTTGTTGCCGGGGTTGCTGATGACGCAGAAGAAGACAAGGATGCGTGTAGACTTGGACCCCGTCACGTGTGAGGACAGGCTGAGACCTGAGAGTGCAGAATTCAACGGATGAAAACATTGGCTGCGCATGCGCCGGTTGACGGGCCACGACCAGCTGAATGCCTTGTGTTACCCTGTGAAGCCGAACTTGAGTACATGGCAATGCGTGTGAGTACTGGGGTATCAGCACTGGTCGAGTGGTATGCGTTCTACCGTGAACAGGGTGGATGTGATTTAACTGAGGTGCTTGTCTCATCCAAAGTTGTGGAACGACTTCAGGACGTGTCACTTGCATAGTGACCCCTGTGTCATGTGACATAGGTTGATGAGGAACATCCCGAATAAAACCTGATTGGTCCATATTGATTTCTTTGTTCATTTTGAAATCTGAAAAAATAAATAAAACATGGTTACGATGCGAATCAACTTATTTTAATTTTAATAAGTCAAATAGATTTAGATTACAGTAGAAATGGGTACTTTATAATGTAGTTATAGTGAAAATCAAAACCTTTGGAAGCAGTGTTTCTTCCAGACTTTTTTCTCCGGGGGTGCACTTGAAATTTTCGGGGGGGGGGGGGCGGTAGACTTTCTTCGGGGGGGGGGGGGGGGGGCGGACTGTTAAAAGTATATATTTTCTATAAAAATTATATAAATTTCATTTCGTTCGGGGGGGGGGCGGTAAAACTTTTTCGGGAGATGCCTGGAAGAAACTCTGTTTGGAAGTTCCCATTTTTTAAAAATCGTAGGTGACACACCATCCATCACAATTCATATAGACCTGCAAGTCGATACAACTACTCAACCTGCAGTGTTTTGTTACATGTTGGGACAGACTTCATTTTGTCAAGTAGATAGCCTCAACAATGTAAAAAACAAAACAACATTACCATTCATAGGCTACGTTTGTAACACGTGTAGTCCAAGTAATATAAAAAAGCTGAGTAGAATAATGTATAGCCTATTCTTTTCTTCATTAAGGCTAAGTGGTATTATTTGCCACTAATTTTATTTTTATTATTGAGTTACATATCTCCTAAAAGCTAGTCCAGTGTATTTAATGTATCGTTATAGGTGAATTTTTGAATTTTAAATAAGGCCTAGTAGGTACACATAAGACTGTTACTGGATTCCGAATAAGCATCGCTGATTTAAAATATTAATTTTCATGCACAGAAATTATAGGCCTTATATTTTTTATTGTAAATTTATAACAAGCACGTAAAGCCTACTTACATTTAAACTCCAAGATACAGAAATGTTCGATGCGTGTAATCGGTTCGTCTGACGATGTAGACTGAGAAAGATTAGCAAAAATTCACGGGTATTTATAACACTAAGCTTGACCCCCGCCCCTCATCTTGTTTCTTTGTCTCCTCTTGTTTACATTTTTAAAAAAGGTGTTGTTCTGACGCAACATGTGGCGAAGTCCTCCCTCCCCCACCTCCCACCTCCAAATCTGACGCACCACGTGGCGTCTAATTTGGAGGCTATTGTACCTCACCAGCATTGAGCGCAGTGATGCGTATCACTGTTGACAGAACCATCAGCTGACACAAGTAGGCATAATCTTGACCACGCTGGGAGACGACGATTTGGGATAATTAAGAAACACATGGATATGGATCATTGGTTTGTTTACTTTTGTATTTCTCTTCTTTCTGTGTCTGGCGACACATGATTTAAGGCCTTAAGGCGTCAAATAAAAAAGAAATAAAAACGCCTCATTACTGTATTTAAATTTGCTTTTTAACAATTGTGAAACTAGTAGGTCAATAGTCATTAGACTTGAATACATATAGGTATTATATAACATGAAGGATTATTTATACGCGGGTAGTGTGGTATGCAAAGCCTTGAAATGTAACACTGCCTTTAATTTTCTATATTCCGTATTAATTTTATCTTTTAAAACGGTTTGATGAGTTTGGCTGACACAAGAGGCGTAGGGAGGGCGGGGGTGCGGACCGCACCGGGTGACACCATTTAGGGGGGTGACACCAAGTCGGCAAAAAATTGCAAAATGTACAGAAGAAAACTGCCTTTTGCCAGTTCCATTAACGATTAATTAAAGTAACATAGTCTTTTAATTACAAATTGACAATTATTACAAGAAGGTGGGGGTGACACCATGACGTAAACATGCTAACTATATAAAATAAAAAATAATAATGTTAATAATACAGTTGGATGTAGCAGACATGTAGATAAACATCGTTACTATTAAGTGTGCAGCGATTAAAGCTTATACACATACATGTTCGCGAATGTGGCATATATTTAAATGATAGGCCTCTTGCTCACACACACATATACACTTTGTTTTTTGTTTTGTTTTTTGGAGTGGGGGGGGGGTGACACCATGAAGTGCTGCACCGGGTGACACCCGACCTAGCGACGCCACTGGCTGACGCGATACAAATATACAATACGGCTTTACTAATTTACTACGAACGAGGGTTAACGAAGTCAGCGACTGTATGGCTACTAAAGAAAATAGGCCCCGTCTTGAGGTCAACGTGTGTACGCAATCCCACTAGTATTACAATAATAATGGGCTTTTGCTCTAGATATTAAACGATCTCAAGATTTGCAAATAGCATTGATTCCTCTCTTTACTTTGAAATCAGTGTTTGAACTCTCTTGTAGATTATCGAAGGACATTCAGAATTAATAGTAACAAAAGAGTGCCTTTATTTAATAGTTATGCTGTTTGAAACCATTCGAAATATGGTCCTCATTAATTATTTAGATTTGTAGATTCAATTAGATCTATTACAAATCTCCTAAGTTGTGCAAATAAGTTACTTTTAATCGCAATTTTACAAAAAGTAAAATCTGGCCTATTTCCTATTTCGTATGGCGGGAACTTCATAGTCGTTTGATTGTTCTACCGAGCATCCTAGGCTAGACCATTAATTAATAATTATCTTATGCTTGTAGGCCTAACTGTAACTTCAAACTGGTATTTTAGATGTAGATCTAGATACAATCAATGTCTGTCAATTTTCAATATGTTAAATCTTGTAGATCTAGATCAAGAGATATAGAATCTACTAGATCTAGATCTAGGGTTGCCAGATACCTTTTCCGAAAATACTGGACACCTGTCCATCCTTCCCTTCTCAGGTAGATATGCCGCAAAGCAGAAGAAGGGGGGTAAAACATAATACTTGTCCAGTTTTTATATTTATTTTATCCTGGACAGTCTGCTCAAATATTGGACTGTCCAGTTCAAAACTGGACACCTGGCAACCCTATCTAGATCTAGAGATTTAGATCTATCAAATCAATGATTAAATGATTCTGAATGAACCTATGACTTATATTAATGAATATATTTCTAGAAATCTTACTCTTAAAATTAGTCTTAATATAAAAGGCAAAAAACTGAATGAATTTAGACTAGATCTAGATCTAGACTCTGTACTGTAAACAAATTCAACTTTGCTTTGTAATAAACGGGGAAGCCTTAATTTTATTAATAAATAATTAATGTGCATTTAGACATCTAGGGATCTATTAATTTCTTTAAAATTTGAAATTCCAAACTAACTAAAAAGGTGCTTGCATGGCACACAAGAAGTCATAAATAAATAACATTAACTTCTGTTCCATATAATTCAGTCTAGGCTACTGCATAACTTAGTTCATTGAAAGTTGAGTGTAAGAGTAGATCTAGATCATTGATCAACTCATTAAATATAGATCTAAAATCTAAATACAGTAGATAGTATTAGATAGATCTAAATCTAGATGATCTATATGTAAAAATTAAACATTAAAATTTTTAACTGAACATTCAAAATTAATCAACATTCTACAATCTACAGTATTTTACAGTAAGACACAATGCAGAAAGTTCTAAGTTTTCAAACTTTTCTTCGGAATAACAAAAATAAAATGACAACTCAGTATCCATTTTTGAGTCATGAGCAGATTATGTGTAGGCTACGATTGCAATGGAAACGATTCAAAGAAGAAGAAAAGCAAGTTAAAAGTACTAACGTGCCAATTCAAAATGTTGCACGCAAAAAAATCATGAGAAGTCATTTTTCCATTGAAAAATATGCACTATTTATTGATGATTTTTTAAAAGATGATAACAGTTCCAATTTGAAAAATGATGACAAAAATAGGTTAACAGAGAAAGCTATTGAATTTGAAAAATCAGAAAGTTATAACTCTCAGAAGAAGTTGAAACAAACCTATTCAGGCAATAGTTCCAATGTTAAACATAAAGTTCCTCAACTTCTTATACAAGATTCCAAAATTGATGATCAGTGCCAAATTGGAATCTTAAAATGTGCTAGGTATGTTGAACGGTTAGACTTTTTTAGTACAGAAAAGCTGTAGATCTAGATTCTAGTACAAGTAGTATTTAAAAAAAATAAATTTAGTAAGCAATAGATCCAGCTTGTAATAAATCACTTGTAGTTGTAGACTATATTTTGGCAGTTCTAGATTGTGAAGCTCATAATTTTGCTAAGTGAACATTTATCTGTTTATAAATACAATAATGTATGCGTCATTATCAAGAATCCATTTTCATCAATAGATCTCGAGGCTTTATATTGAAACTTTTAAAATCAGTTTCTGCATATTAAAGTTAGAGAAACAGTTTCTTTCAGACATCTCTTTCCAGCATGAGTTAGGTACCCATAAGAGCTGGGCGGACTCAGGGAGATTCCACTGACTTGAAGCCGGATTCGAAGTCGAGACTTTTGGGTTAGCAGTCTAGCGTCCTACTGCTAGGATACACTGTCATGGTCAACTATACTTCACCTTCCCCTTGTACCATTGGGTTAAAAAAGGGAAGCAACTCTACCAATGCTAACTTTCAAATATAAATGAGTACATATCTGTTTACCAAATTTAATATAAAGGATGTTATTTTAAACCTTTTTGACTTAATTATGAAATTTAAAAAAAAAATTAACAGTAAATAATACATTCATTTTTTTCACCAGAAGTCAATTCCAGAAATCCAAGCAAAGTTTAGGAAAAGTGTCTTTCTCATCTCAGAAAAATATAAGTAATATTGACTTTGAAGAAACTGATGAATTAGAAGAGTTACACACTGAAAATGCAAGAAATGCTAATTTTAAGAAATGTAACTCACTGGAGGGGAAAAAGGCAATATCAATTGATTCACCTGGTAAAAACAAGAAGACAAAACGGAAACAAAACAAACCAGCAAAAACATTTAAAGGTAAAAAACCATTGCAGTTTGAAGTCAAACAGTCATCCTATGAATCTGATTTTGGTGAGTTTGAGGGAGAACATGAAATAAAAAACACTGCAAATGAATTTGTTGAGCTTAAACCTATTCACACAGATATTTCCAATAAACAAAGTGGGTACAGTTCTCATATTGCATTTGAAGCTAATGAAAATGCTGATGGAATTTCAGAAGACATTTGTAGAATGGAGATTGATGATGGTAATGAAGATTTCTATGATTATGATGAAGATAATGAAGAAGATGCAGTTCTGTTGGTTAGGTCTAGTGATTTCCCTTACCATGAAGGAATGAATGAACATACAAACTTAAATATGGACTGTATAAAGAAGAAAATGAATTTGAATGTAAGTATAAATTCACCAGTTATAGCTAAAGATTCTATTAAAAAACAAGTTCAGAAGAGGGAAATCTCAGAGAAACTGATTGCAAAATCAAGAAGAAATAATGCTTGTACAAAAAGGTTTGAAGATTTAAGTACATCCACCCCATTGACTGAAGTAAAAAATCCAGACATTTCAACAAGACGAAGATCAGAACGATTAAGTCTTCAATGTAGTGGCTCAACCAAAAATTTACCATCTGAAAATGAAAACACCAGAAAGTTATCTACAGATTTAAAGAAGAAACAATTAAGAAACACAAAACGCAAAGACTTAGTCCCTGTTAGAAATCCCAAAATTGTATCAGATTTTCTCGATGAAGTCAGTGAAAGAGAAAGTAGCAGAAACACAAGTCAAATATCTGATATGGAGGTATCTGAAAATGAAAACACCAGAAAGTTATCTACAGATTTAAAGAAGAAGCAATTAAGAAACACAAAATGCAAAGACTTAATCCCTGTTAGAGATCCCAAAATAGTATCAGATTTTCTAGATGAAGTCAGTGACAGAGAAAGTAGCAGAAACACAAGTCAAATATCTGATATGGAGGTATGATTAATATGTCATTGATTTAATTTTAAAATTCTCAACTGTTCCTTTTGATTATGCAACATTCCATTAAATGAATCTAATGAAGATTTTGTTTTGGTTTTAGGAATCTGCTTTCAGAAGACAGAATATTATTGGTCGTATGTTTCAAGAGGTACCACAGAGCAAGCGGTGTGATGTTACTCCAGCTAAACGAAGGTACTTTTTAAGTAAAAATATGTGTTGTTTAGTACGAGCTGACCCGCAGTGTATCATACGCCGCTATTTAGTTGTTTTATTTTCTACTTTTCAGTAATTCATAATTTGTGAATTTGACAGTACCAATGCTGCCACTGAATATATTTGCTTTAAAACACTATCAGTAGCTCGTTAAGGACGATAACACCCCCCTCCTTTCCCCACCCCCCTGTGAAAGCAGCCTCCTCTTAGTTACCTCCCCTACGTTTAAAATAGTTTCAAACTAAATTATCTGCCCCTAATAGCCGTCACTAAACCCGGCTCTGCTTGTAAACATTTAGTGTGAACCACAACTCACCAGACCATGTAGGGGTGGGTGTGATAGGGAGCGCGCTTACAGCTTGTTTTTTAGCGTCTCCTAGAAGAGAATTATATATATAGATTAAGGATACAGCATAGTTGAATAGTAGACTCAAACGTCTTAAGTTCAAGTAAACTTTCTGAGAATAAATCTTGAATTCTAACTGTAAATTAATGAAGTTGCTGAAAAAAAAAAGGCTACATATCATTTAGTGAGACTATTAATTAGTTAATTAGATGCTGCTACAAGTTGAAGGTACAAATTACATACATTTTTTTTCCCCACATTTATCCCACCACATTTTTATTGGATTTTTAACCAAGTTATTAATATTATTAAATGTTAATTACAGAATAGGTTCTGATTTTCTTTTTAACAAACTATTACTAAGGTAAATTAGAAATTATCTTTACTATTTCTCATTTCAGATTGCTGGCCAGTAATAACATGAAAACTCCAAGTAACTTTCACTATTTATTTGATAATCAAGAGATTTTTCTTTGATAGAATTAGTGATCAACTAACTCCAGCAAAATACAATTCATAAATTGTGTATACATTTGGTTAATTTGTTAATTTATTTATTACTTTTTGTTGAATACTGCAGTGTTTTAGTTTGTTTTAAGTACATCCTAAATAAGCACATGTTTACGTTTTGGAATGGTATTTATCAATTTGTAAAAATCATTGACTAATGAAACAGTTGTTTTGTTTCATAAATAAACATTGCTTTATTTGATCTGCAATTTTTTTAAGTTAACCATTTGTTTATTTTTTTTTTTTTTGTAAATTTACAGTAGTACAGTTAAAAATAAAGTTAATAAGAAAATGTGCATGCCTCTTTAATTTGTTAAGAATGAAAATTCACTTGATTTTTTGAGATATGGACAAAGACATTAAGAAATGGAAATCTATATTGCTAATGCTATTAAAATAAACATAAAGTAACTGCTTTTATAAGAACACACTGCATTATTTTATTTTCATAATACAAATTTATAATTTATGCGAACAAATACAATTTAAGTTATAAAGTAATTTTTCAACCCTTAACATTGACGAAGTTGGTAGATGAAAGGATTGTCACCACACACGCAACATGTACTTTCCCCAACCCTGGTTCACTTTAGACATGGATTAACTCAAGCAAGATTTGCAAACACTTGTGTTGTCTCATAATTATTAATTAGACTAAGATTTGCTTTAAAATTCGTTAGATGCAGACACTAAATTATTACTGAAAAGTAACATTTGTGCTAGTGGATCTGCTATAAGCTTGAGTGAAGTTGTTTGAATTTATTCACTTTGCATTTGAACAAAATACATTTGTATATGATAAAAAATTTCTATAAATCTTAAATCATATTCCTAACAGCTGTAATTCATTATTTGTATGAAGAATTTAATATTTAACTTTCATAGTAGTTGTAATATTTAAAATAATATAACCTTATTTTGAATAGAAAAAGATCTATGTGGTAACTAGTTTGAATACACATGCCCAATGTGATACAATTACTATAGATTAGCTATAGTTAACTGCCTTTGAAGTAAGAATTACACAAAATATTAAAATGTACATAAAACAATCATTAAAGTTGAGTCTATTTTTAATTGTTTTTAGAAGATCCCCCAAAACCTGAAAACCCCATGATAGCAGACATATCTGGATCAACATCAGTATCATCAGCTTTTCTTTTTCTATCTTTCCTTTTTTCTTTTTTGTAAGCTTTCTGTTTTTCTTCCTGTAATTTTATAAAAATATTGATTATTGTATGGTACAGATTTCAAAGTTCTTGTTACAGCAATAGGGTGGACTTAAAAATAATGTATTATTAGGCCTACCTCTTCTTGAAGTTCCTTCACTCTTTCCTCAAAATCATACTCTTTTTTCTTTTCCTCTTTTTTCTTTTTGTTCAGTTCAAATCTGGCTTTCACTTGATCTAGAGAGGAACGCTCTATCTTCATGGACATACCCAAATTGCGCTGATCTGAAAAATTGATAGTCAACTTATTTTTTGTAACCTAATAAACGGCCCAATGCAGCAGTTGAGTTTTAAGTAAATGAATTAGATGGATATAAGTTATGTTGTAGCCAGTAAATTTGTTTATAGTTTTTTTTATTAGAATTAAAGATAAGTTTTAATATTGAAATTGTTCATTTTAAAACATGATATTTAATAATTTTATAAAAATTTAAATATTCAAATACCTTGCAAATATCTTCATTTTAAAATTGATTACCATGATACTATTGATCGATTAAGTAACAGTACAAAGTGCAAACAATTTTGTTTCAACTGTCACCAATATGAAGAAATCAATTTGAAAAATTAACTCACGTTTTTTTCCATTGATGTGGTCAAGAAAGTTGATAGAATCTTTAACAACACAATCACAGACATTGCAGTAGTAACTGAAAAATAATGGTTGAACTTAGAAAAAAGATTCTTTGGCTTTTATTTAATTTATAGAATACAGAAAATTATTTTTGTAGCGATTTAGATAATTTATTAGAGATCAGTTCTCACCCTCCTTGTTGAGCAGCTGGTGTTGTTTTAGTAATAACCTGAGATTTTCCAAGCTTTGAGTCAAGGTCAACCTTTTAAAGACACAAGTTATGCAATTATTATTAATAAATATGTCCGAAAAATAGAACTCTTTGTAGTTAACTAGTTAAGCTAAATTAAAAGAAGCTTATGTTGAGAATGGGCTAGAAATTATAGCAAATTAATATTGTTCGACAGCAGTTTTTGAACTTACTAAACAAACTGTACCTTATAATCACGTGGTTTTAAGAGTTCCCTTTTGACAGGTACTGCATGTTCTTCTTCACTCTCACTACTGTCATCTTCCAGTTCTTTCAGGCGCTCCTGAGCCAATTTTTCGTATACTTCTTTGTCCCATTTTCTGCGGTGATCTGGCACTGGGGCCTAAAGGTAACAAGCATAATTGTAATCATAGAATTGTTGTAGCCTTTGAGATGGAAGAACCCAAACAACATTAAAATATCAGGGTACCTGGTACTTTATTAGCCACAGTGGCATTTTATTTTTTGTTTGTTTTCACCCTTATTAATTGCAACTTATATTAATACAAAATTTTAAATAGTAAAAAGGTCCTTAAAAATTCAGCTATATTAGCTACTTCAGTAATTAATGACAAGACAGAAGACAACTCCACATCCTAAATAAATTAAAATATTTGTGAATGTAATATTATTATTACATTAATTTGGAACTATTTTGTCAAACTTCATTTATTTTCAATCACTTTCCAATGCAAACAGATGGATCACCGTTCCCAGTTCACTTTTGGCGAAGTATAAAAGTTTAAGTATACAAATACACAAGGCTAACCATTTTTATAACTCCAACTGGTGTACATTAAAAACCGAGTAAATTATAAAAATCTAAATATTCATAAATTATGAAATTAATTGAATGTTCAAATGAGGCCTAACTTTCACAAATAAATTGTTATAATTATTAACATAACTTATTAAATTGATTAAAAAAAAACGACTTGGATTGCACTGGTTAAGAAGTTCTAATTTTGTAATAATTTATAGGGTTCTATCAGGGATAAATGAGATAGCTTCTTCTTCTTTGTTCTTTATTTTAGTGTTGAATGGGATTCCCTCCAACACAATTAAGTATACATGTCAACTGGTTATGCACCATTTAGTCCGTTGACTCCGATTTCAGCCTGGATTTGTCCATAGCCTTTGTCCAACCAAGAACAAACTACAAGCAGCAGTTGTTTGATTTTGTAGTTGTCTCTCCTAAAAGAGTTGCTGTCTCCAGCTATGGAGCCTCATCTGCCTGGGGGTTGGAATGACTTATCGGTTCAGCAACCATAAGCCTAACCGACCTAACCACGCCGACTTCGAGAGATGTCTAACTGGCCCTCCTAAATCATTATCTTTTCCCAATTCCTGCCCAAAACACATGGGGCAGATGAAGTAGAGTCAGAGTGTTTCAATGACCTTGGCATACAAGGGGATAAAGTAGTTGGCACTTTGCCCAACCGCCTTTGATTCCCTGATGTGAGTTAAGTACTTGTGTAGTGTACTGTACCCATCAGAGCTGGGTGGACTCTGGGACATCATTCAGTCTCATGCCCAGGATCCGAATTCAAGACTTTTGGGCTAGCAGTCCTACATATGCCAGAATAACTTGAGAAAAATCTAGACTAGAGAGCTAGATCAACCTACATAGGACATACACTTAGAGTAGTAGGCCCTACATACTACTAGGAGTCACGCTAGTGTACAGTGTGAGTGTATTTGTAATGTCTATAAATTTTTAATTAACAATTTTAATTAGACCTAAAATACCAATTTATAAAACAAAATTGAACACTCACTCATTAATTAGTTAAGAAGAGTCAGTAAGTGAGTAAGACTACTACTACTACTTGTGTTCTACCTTACTAAACTAAGAGTACTAGATAATGATATCTAGATCTAAGTAAAATCTAGATCTAGAGATCTAGTAACTACACTGGTACTAGTAAGACGATTTAATTTACTTTTTTTTTAGCCTAGTCAAGTCTGTTGTGCTGTAGACAAATGTAGAGCAGTTTAGTAGGGCCTACATTCAACTACAGTGATTTTTTAATTTTTAGAACTATTGTGTATAAAAGCAGAGCCGGCGTTAGGGGGTGGCAAACGGGGCGGTCGCCCCAGGCCCCGCGCTTGAAGGGGCCCCGCGCTTCAGCAACGCCATTGTTGCCTGAATTAGTTTGTAAGCTTAAGTAATCTTTGCTGAATTAAATTTAAAAAAAAAACCCAACTAAATGGCCGAAATTGTTGGATGTTAAAACTGAGGCCAAGGCTGATGTTAGTGAGTTATCCTCTGCATGGACTGGGACAGACCGTTATTCTAAAGAAAGACATTAGTGTCACACATCGCTGGCACGGTCGACTCGCTATTGTCCTGAGGTGACTGGAGATGGCGGTCGCGAATCAGCCCCCGACCTGACATGGGAGGTAAAATCGGGAAAAACGTAAACAGATACCCTATTGTTTGCGGACCGTTGAAGACGTTTTTTTTTAGTGAGCAGGCGGGGGGTGCCTGTAGTAAACAGTCAGTGACCTGATGATGGCTTGCAGAGGAGGAGGGGGGGGGGGGGGAGCGGATGGGGACATGCCCCTGAAATCCAGAGTATTTATCCCTAAAATCATAATTTATACACTGTATTGGCATCTTTTGTGTAATTATGCATATTCACCATGATACGTTTGATAGGCATCCATACAGTAATTATGTTCATATTTATTTTATATATTGTCAGGTCATCTTTAAATACATTATACTTGTATTTATTTTTATATTTTTGAAGGGCATTTATACAGTAATTATGTCCATTTTCATTTTGGTAAACTTTAACGGTATTCGTAAAGTGATTAAGCACATGTTTATTTTAATTAATTGTAGGGACAGTGGCGTAGCGAGGTCGGGTGTCACTCGGTGCGGCACTTAATGGTGTCACACCCCCCCCCCCCCCCCAGAGGCGTAGCGACCCTTCCCGGGAAAAAACTTTTAAATTTTCGATTTGCACCCCCCCCCCTCCTCAAACTTTCGATTTGCACCCCCCTCAAGCTTTTCTCTATATATTTTGCTATTTTTTGCCTTGGTGTCACCCCCCTAAATGGTGTCACCCGGTGCGGTCCGCACCCCCCCCCCCTCGCTACGCCACTGTGTAGGGATATTCAGTATAATAGTTAAGGCCATAGTGATTCTTGTTTTAAAATAGTGTAGGCATACTAAACAAATTATAAATTCTATACTGTTTGATACATCGGGCCGAGACTGTTTTATGGTAAAGTTCTCCTGATTTCTAAAACGTCTAAATTACCGGCAGTCCGAGCATGCCATCGCGAAACTCATAAATAACATGAAGCTGGCTGTCACATGGTTCACTTTTTAATTATAGACACTTACCCTCTCTTGTGAGAACACGGTCTTAATCTGTAATGTAATACGCGGACGCTCTATAAACACGCACCTTCTCTTGAATGGCTGCGGTCAGAGATCCAGTAACGTAGTACCCGAACTGATTTTTGTTTAGGGTTTGGCATCCCATAGATTTAAATGTACAGTTATCCTTCACCTCACCCCACCAACTGTCACCCCCCCCCCCCAGTGTTCCACCTTACTGAGCGTCCGTGATTACATTTGACTGAGAGTCATTTCATTTGGATATCTATCAGTGTTTCTTCTAGACTTTTTTCTTCAGGGGGGGGGGGGGGGGGGGCACTTGAAATTTTAGGGGGGGGGGGGTGGGGCGGTAGACTTTCTTCGGGGGGCGGACACTGTTAAAAGTATATATTTTCTATATAAATTATATAAATTTCATTTCGTTCGGGGGGGGGGGGGGGGCGGTAAAATTTTTTGCCCCCCCCCCCCCCCCCCCCGAAGAGATGCCTGGAAGAAACTCTGATATCTATAGCCGTAAACAGTGTTTTTCACGATTCGAGCTTATTCCGAAATCTATCCATGTTTTGCGTTTCGAAAGCACTTCTAAGTAAACAAATTATTTGTTAATCAGTGTCTTAATGTTAATACGACATTGATAAACAGCTTAAAAATACCATATATATCGTTATAAATATTAATTCGCGTTGAGAAGAGAAAAAAACGCCTCACTGTACATGTTTTATTTAATTATACACCAATGAAAAAAATATAAGGCCCCGCGCGGATGGTTGGCCATAGGCCCCGCGTACCCCTAACGCCGGCTCTGTATAAAAGAAAGTGATTGTGATTGTCACTCCTCAGACTGGCTCAGACTCAGTCACTGTCACGATTGTGATTGTCGTACTGAGGGCAAGAAAATACTCAAAATAGCCTTAGGCGTTACCAGAATTCTATTCAATGAGTCGACTCGAAATATCGATATAGAGAGATCTAAAAACAAACATTACAATTCTTACTTACATCGTAAACTCCAGACATTTTTTTAGTTGTGCCTTGGCTAGGTAGGGGAGACTGCTCTAACTTCGACCGGGTTCTAACTTCGACCGAATTCGGTATTGGGTCAGAAAAATATTTGATAAAAAAATAAATAAATATTACTGGCTTTAAAAAAATATATCTTTATTTACACAATTGAATTGCGTTGTGTTTTCCTTTTGAAATGACAGGTCTATCTTTAGCCGTTTTCGAGCACTTTATCCACGAAGTTAGGCTAGTTAGCGTCCGTGAGTTTTATCGAGTGAAAATATCAAATTTGCATTTTGTGAGCTTTTTAGTGCCTTCTTTCATAATGCCTAAAACGTAAGTAATTTTGCTTTTAACAGTTTTTAAACTTGAAAATAAATTATAATGTTGGTTAATCTACATATGTGTGCTTTTTTTTTTTTTTTTAGGGTTGTAAAAATTTAAAAAAATAGTGAAAAACAAATCGGTCGAAGTTAAAACCATGTAAAAAATGCGGTGTTCTAACTTCGACCGATGTAACCAAATGTAGATCTACATAGGAACCTAGCATAAAGTAGGCCTATAATTGTACTAGATCTATTAGATTAGGCATATTAGTTTATTTTTTTTCCTTTAATTTAAATTTATTAAAAACAACTGACATATGCTTTATCAACAGACCAAAAGATAAAAAAGAAAAAAGGTCGTATATTTCGTATGAAACGGAAAACCTAGAAAAGGCTGTAGATGCAGTAAGACAGGGCATGTCTTATGGCAAGGCAGCATTGCAGTTTGGGGTGCCCAAAACAACTATTATTGACCATGTTAAGGGCCGAATAAAAGCAGGGTCTAAGCCTGGTCGAAGCTGTGAAATTGACCCTGCTTTAGAAAAACAGATAGTATCGAGAGTCCTCGATGCTTCAAAAGCGGGGTTTCCATATACAAAACGCCGGCTTCTAGCAATGGTAGGAAACATTGCAAGGCGTCTGGAAATAAAAACAAGATTCAAAAATGGTGTTCCTGGAGAGGGGTACTGGAGGAAATTGAAGGGGAGGCACCCTGAACTGACCATCCGGAATCCAGAAGCCTTACCACAGTGTCGAATGACAATGCTCAACAGCAATGTTGTAAAAAACTACTTTGAAGCTCTAGGGAAGCTGTTAGACGATCTGCAGCTTACTTCGCGGCCTAAATGCATTTGGAATTGTGATGAGACTGGAGTACAGTTACAGCACAAGCCAACAAAAGTAGTTGCCCAGAAGGGAGTAAGAGGGGTGTCAGCACGTGTGACAGGGTCTCGTGAAAACATAACCATATTTGCCACCATTAATGCCGCTGGCGAGTCAATGCCCCCCATGATAATAGTGAAGGGCAAAACCCAGCGAGCAGTTTCGTCGTTCAACGTCTGTGATGCGCCAAAGGGAGCTGTGTAGACTTATCAGGAGTCTGGGTGGATGGAAGATCTTTTGGGAGTCCAATGGTTTAAGCAAGTTTTCCTTAAACATTGTGGCCCAGACCGCCCCCAGCTTCTCCTGTTAGATTCACACAGCTCCCATGAGGTTGTGGATCTGCTGGAAACAGCAAGGAATGAAAATATACACATATTCGCCTTGCCACCCCATACAACACACAAGTTGCAGCCGTTGGACAAATGTGTCTTTGGGCCGTTTAAGAAATATTATGGTGCAGAATGCACTGAATTTCTTTCGGAGCACCCGGCAAACGTGATCAGTAAAGTCACATGGACTAAACTGTTCACTGCCGCATGGAGCCAAGCCTTTTGCCCAAGCACCATCAAAAAAGCTTTTCAGGCCACCGGAATCTATCCGTTTGATCCAACGGTTGTCACAAAAAGTGACACATTGCCAAGTGAGGCATTTGACCGGCAAGCACCTTCAACACTAGTTGCAAGCGATCAAAATCAACCTATTGCTTCTGTCTCTCAGGATATGGCCATGTTCGAGGAAGCATATGCTCCCTCTGCTCCTGAAGCAACAATGGTCGACGCAGATGTCCTCAACACTGACCCATGGTGGTCACCTCCTGAGGACCAAAATGAAAGTAGGCCTATCGGCGAAATACGTGCTACGGGTGCTAACGAAAACTTTTCGGACATCCTAAAGCTTGCCATGGACATAAGTGGCATCGAAGAGGATGAAGCCGTTAACCAAGCAAGTGGAAGTGAAACACATGAGAAATGGTTGGCGGAATTATCAAGCGTTTTTGATAAACCCGTCTTGCCAACGGCGGAAAAAAAAAAGCTCATCACGGAAAATTACAACTCACAGGTTGTTGACCAGTGATGAGGTAATAGGAATGAAGAAAAGGCAGGCCGAGGAAAAGGAAAGCAAGTTGAATGAGAAGAAAAGACGGGCAGATGTGAGAAAAGAAAAGGCTGCAAAAAAATTAAATTAATGATGTGTTGTAGGCTCGCCTACATGTGTTGTCTGTAAATTACTATAAATATTTTTTCCTTTTTTACTGTTAAAAATGTCGTTGTGTTTACTTCTTTTTTTGTTTTTGTTTTCAATTGAAGATAAAGCTAGCCTATTTAAAAACCTTTAAATACACAACAAAGGCCACCTAAATAAGTGTTTTTAACAATAGGCCCAGGCTACGGTCATATTCCTAAAGCGGTCGAAGTTAGAACAAGCCGCCGGTCGAAGTTGGAGCAACCTGGTCGAAGTTAAAACCAAAAGGAAATATTTGGGTCAGTGTCTAGGCTTGCATATAGTATTAAATCCTTCATAGCGATTGGTTAACTATTTATACCAAACCAATCAGCGTTGGAGAACGTTTTTAACAGTGAAAAAATTATACCGCTATGTTGATTGGTTTACGAGATATAACGAAGAGAAGCGAACCTTCGGCTCGGGAGAAAACGGATCGGTCGAAGTTTGAGCAGTCTCCCCTAGATTCTGTCTTGATTGTAATTCTAGATCTTCAGGTTTAGATGTTCATAAAACGTTTAGGCTATATTTTTTTCATTCACAGCTTCTTATTTAATTATCGCATTTTAAATTATTATTATATTTTTAATTATCCTCTAGAACGCACGTAAAGAGAACTGAATATATAGATCTAGACTCAATGGTAGCAAATACACATTATAAAACAAAAACAACCTGTGCAAAAGCAAAATTAAGAAGTACCACCAGGTACATAATTTATTCTCAAAACATTACAATTTAATGGCAGATGAAAATGTGCACTACATTAATAATATTATTCATAATTTTAATTAAGTTCTTCTTCCTTGACACAGCCAATCTTTATGTATTTTGATGTGTCATTTTTCTGAACAGGTGTTTCTATAATACTGTTAAGAGACTTACAAATAAACCTCATGGCCTCATTTACTTTAGTGTTTAAAAAAAAGTAATTTTTAACCTTCACATTAACCAGTACAGTTGCCAGTCTTAAAACAGAATAAATTATTATAACAAGTGTTTTTCCTTATTTGAGATTTATATTTTCACCACGTCATTCACATTTTTTTTTTGGACAACAAGCATCTGTCTAGTGGCTTAAGGTTATGTATTACCCAATCTTGCAGATTTTAACAGAAATTTTTTTTTATCTAAGTAAGTCACCAAGTACACACCACAGAGCTACCCTACGACGCTACTGTATCAGTTTACTTCTTTCAAAGCTTGTTACTAGTAGTGTGCTAAAGCCTGCTAATGTAAGCTCTGTGCAAGTACAGAATGATAATTAGGCATACTGAACTAAATATCTTTAGTATAGCAACAGGTAAAGGATTACATAGAGGCAATTTTAAAACCTCACTCTACTTGTTCACTACCACACATTAACTACTATAAATATTTCATCACTCATTCACACAAATAACAGACATGAAATACATGTTTAATTTATTCTTCATTACGTTTATTTAAACTTAAACATAACTTCAAATTAAAGCAAATCATGCAATGTAAACTAAATATATAAAAATATACCAAGAAACGTTAAATTATTGTGGTAAATTTTTCTAGATGACCTGCACAAATGAGCAAAATAGCAATTACTCCAAAAAAAAAAAAAATTAAATACATTTAAAAAAATTCCACTTGATCTCATGTATCCTTATCACCCCAATTAATCCAAATGGAAATATTTTGGGAATCAAATCACCAACATAAGCTTTGTTGATTTAGCTATTATTATACCCATAGGTATTTTAAATATCTTGGTAAATAGGACTTTTTACAGTTGAATGCAGAGTCCCATTTTTCTTTTTCACAATGAACATATTATTAAAGATAATTGAAGTTAATTCCAATCTACTTTAATGTATGTTTCTTGGGTAAGTAAAAAAACAAACAAAATCAGCATTGTGAGCCTGTCTGTTTTAGCTTTTGAAGTCTATTGGTATTTGAGTCTCCTTTGGCTCCCCAATGGCTTTCTTTTGTATTTTGATACTCAGTACACCGTGGGCATTCATTGATGAAGTAATTGATTGGGGATCAACATCCTAAAATATAAAAAGTATCATATTGTTATCACTAAACTGAAAACAAAAATATTCAAGATTTAGACACATTTTAGACCAATTTGTATTCGATGACACCCTTAAAATTCTTAAACAAAGTTAAAACATACAGGTATGGAGGTATGAAAGAATAAATCATTAAAATGATTTAAGAAATCAATATTTTTTTTAGCTGGTATACTGAATGTTATGTTGGTAGGTGTGAGGGTTGGGGTGTATAGCCTGTTTCTTTTAACTTCTACTTGACCTAAACTAGTATCATCACAGTAGGCATTTTTCTGAATAAAGTTAAGTATAAATGAATTTCAAAAAGTGTATTAGTTATACAACTAATAATACTAAAGTATGGTTCATAACGCATAATAACTCACTTTGCAGTCAGAGTTTAAGTGATAAAACCAGAAAGGTATCCATACCAATTACAATTAGCTTACCTCTGGTAATTTGTACATGCGGGTAATTTCTCTTGCAACAAAGCCATGGTTGTCTTGCTTCTCCTCATGCTTAGCACTGACCGTAATTTTTTTATTATCAGATGATATTTTTACTTCCTCTGGTTTAAAATGTTGTAAATCCATGCGAATGCGCACTTCTTTATCTGTATTGTGAACCTGTGGTTAGAAAATGTTAGATAGCTGTTAACCCTAATATTGGGCTATAATTATTTGTTCATCATAATAGTTTCCAATAAATTTTTTAGAAATAGAATTAAGCCTTGCAAATTTAAATCATGTATACAAAAATGGACACAGTACACTCTTGTCTATCCAGCTCTGTTGGGTACTTAATTCCTCATTACATAAAGTAAAAGCAACTCTTCACATGCAGAGGGTCAAAGAAACAGGGAACTCTTACTTCATGTCAAAATGGCCATCCAATCCAAAAGGGTAAATTTACTAAATATAAATAACAAACACTAATAAAGGAGTTAAATTTAAAAAAAAAATTCATAAAACAGAAACTTCACTTACCTCAGTTTCTCCATACTGACTCAGTACTTGGGCAATGTTTTTATCCAGAGCAATAAGTGGGTACCTAGCAAATTCATCAGCAAAACGCATCATTGGTGCCATTTCATTCAAGAGTCTAGGTACTATTGAAAACATTTTTAAGTGCTTAACTTTTCAGCAAGGTTGTTGGATGTTGTTAACTGGACTCCACTGAACTGAAAGTAAATATAATAGATCTATGTATGTATTATTTCTGGCTAAGCTAGTACAGGCAAAATGCTATTTTTTAAAATGCTAAATCAAAATCTCACAGTGAGTGTGATGAATGTTGTTTCTTTAATAACTAGCCAGACCAAAGGACGTGCTTCATTACAAGCTTTTATTTAACTCACTTCCTCTGTCGTCAGTCTGTCGTCAGTCTAGACGGAAACGCAGGAGTGAAAATTCGGACAGTTCTACTTGACCGATACGATTCACAGTTGGCACGTGGGTCAAGACATGAAGACAATGCAATCTGAAACTAAATTTGACTTAATTGGATGCCTAATTGATTTTTTATGAATTAATTAAAATTTGGACCGAATTAGTAGGCATGTCTAGCCAACCACACCACACGCGTCATCAATAGCTGCGCCATCACGACCACGTAATGGCTGCGTTCAAAAACCATTGCGCGCCTACTGAACGTGATATTCAGTAGGCGCGCAATGGTTTTTAGTCATGTAACTCTATTGTAGATAAAACATGTAAAGTACTGAAAAAAAATTCATAAAAAACGTTTTAATAACAAGCTTTTATGTAATGATGCACTAAAAAGTAGAAAATAAATTATAGACTACTATTTAAATAACTATAAAGAAAAGCGTGGGTGTCTTCCTTAACATTAGTAAAGGTATCCAATAGATACTAAAGTGACCCACGCTTTTCTTTATAGTTATTTAAATAGTAGTCTATAATTTATTTTCTACTTTTTAATGCATCATTACATAAAAGCTTGTTATTAAAACGTTTTTTATGAATTTTTTACAAGCTTTTATTTAACTCACTTCCTCTGTCGTCAGTCTAGACGGAAACGCAGGAGTGAAAATTCGGACAGTTCTACTTGACCGATACGATTCACATTCGACACGTGGGTCAAGACATTAAGACAATGCAATCTAAAACTAAATTTGACTTAATTGGATGCCTAATTAATTTTTTATGAATTAATTAAAATTTGGACCGAATTAGTAGGCATGTCTAGCCAACCACACCACACGCGTCATCACCTTCAATAGCTGCGCCATCACGTAATGGCTGCGTTCAAAAACCATTGCGCGCCTACTGAACGTGATGTTCAGTAGGCGCGCAATGGTTTTTAGTCATGTAACTCTATTGTAAATAAAACATGTAAAGTACTGAAAAAAAATTCATAAAAAACGTTTTAATAACAAGCTTTTATGTAATGATGCACTAAAAAGTAGTAAATAAATTATAGACTACTATTTAAATAACTATAAAGAAAAGCGTGGGTGTCTTCCTTAACATTAGTAAAGGTATCCAATAGATACTAAAGTGACCCACGCTTTTCTTTATAGTTATTTAAATAGTAGTCTATAATTTATTTACTACTTTTTAGTGCATCATTACATAAAAGCTTGTTATTAAAACGTTTTTTATGAATTTTTTTTTTATTATATACTAACACTTCACTTCTAGAATTATCTAGTAGATTTACTATCACAACAGTGTCAGAATGATTACTGTTTTTTGTTTTGAATTTGGTTTTATTCGCAGTATGCGTAGATCTACTTGTGTATTCGGTAGGATTCTAGAATTTGTATTCTGCTAACAATATAACATAATCTGAGAATCTCTATTGCGCCGTTAAATTTAGGTCAAGGTCCTAAACGTGAAACCCCTAGAAAATTCTCAAACAATTTGAATTAAGACAAACATTTTTTAAATTAATTAAGCAATACACATTTTCAACTTACACATTTTAAAATGCAGCCTAAAACACAATGTAATAGATGTAACTGTAGATCTAGAAGACTCTAGAATAGATCAGCTTATAATTTCACCCGGCATCTTTGTTGATAAACAATGACATTTTCAATTGTAAATAAGTATTCGATTATGATTTATTGCTTAATTGTACTGGCTATTATAATTTTAGATACGATATAGATCTACTAAAAAAATTATTAGAATCTACAATCAGGTTTATATTTTATAACAATCACAATTATTAAAATAATGAATTTAAAAAGTAAAGCCCGTATTTGATTTTTACTGGCTTGATAATAATTCAAGTTTCGATACCAGAGAACATATAATTCAATAGTCGATTACATATACTATCAAGCTGTGAACATTTATTATTTTAAATAATATATTCCTTTTATTTCAATAATTTAAACAACCATTATGTTTTTTTGAACACTATTCGTTGATTTACTAATAAAATAATTATATTATTATTGACTTTAAAGTTCAAATGGACTAGAAATATATAGAAATTTCTGGTAGGATCCCGAGTGACCTTGCCCTTGCTAACTGATGAGTATAAATAGAACGCACCGTGTCAATGTTTATATTCAACGTTCAAAGCGATCTACTCAGTGACGCTGATAGCGAAGTTCGAGAAATTTTTCAATAACTTTCCTGTGCACCGTTATTCAAAAGTGAAAAGCAAAACGTGGAGGAAAATGTACAGAATCGTGAGACAGCCAAGTTATTTTGATGACATCCTACCCCTTGTAAGGCTAGCAGACGAACTGACAACACCGTTTTATGATTCTACCAACAACATTGCGTCTGCTGGAGATGGAAGACCAGCCTTGGCAAGAAGATCAGGAGAATCAGAGGTAAATTTTAGATCTAGATCTAGATCTATCTTAGATTTTGTAAAGCAAACGTTTCAGTTTTATTTATTTATTACCAGAGATGTACATAGAATCTAGATCTAGACTCTATTTCTAATTTCCTAAATTAAACTTTTAAAACCCATAGTAGTTTTTTTTTAGTAGCCATGCCATACACAATGACATACCACAATGACATACACGTCAGATATTTAGAAATCTATAAGTAAGAAAAAAAATTAGAATCTAGATTTCTAGATCTAGAGGTCTATGTATTTTTAATTTTTAGGCTCTAATATTTTTTATTACTTTATTTAGAGTAGGACTTTAGTGTTCAATTTTATTCGGTTTTATTCGGTTATTAGTTAAGTAAACTAAATGCCACACCCTTTTATAAAGATTACATTATTGTGTCACCACTGGACACGTAGATCTATCACCATAATATATCACCATAATATATACTATATAGTACATAGGCCATAACCAGAGTTTCTTCCAAGCATCTCTTTGTGGGGGCACCGCCCCCCGAACGAAATGGAATTTATTTTAAAAATATATACTTTTGACAGTTATAATAGTTATAATTAGGCCGTTCGAATTCGCAGCTTCCGGGTTTGTTGTTTTGAAGCCATCTCACGGCTCATGCGCTTACCAAAAATGGCGACCAGTTTCGCTTTCACTAATGGGTAGAGCGATAAAACTAATGATTACGAAGCCATCGTTAATTTAAGAAATCGGAACTATCCGTTTCTATTTAAGTCTGTTATTTAAGAATTGTCGGATCTACTTTTGGCCTAATTCCTTTGTTTGTCTCGCAAGCGGCGCCTTAGTGAAAGTAGCTCTATGAATTCTTGTCTTTTATATCAAATAACTCTTACATATCGCTTCCAGATGCAAACCAGCTTATGTCAGATGTAAACTTTAAAGTATTAATTTTACACACATTACCATTAACTGGTAATAATTTGGCGTGTTAATGAGATATGTGCGTGGGAAAACGATCACCCCCCAATAATGCCATTTTATTATAATCTTGCTTAGTGAAAACGAGGCGCGGGAAAATGTGTGCTGCGCAAGAATCCAATCATTTGGCTAGATTTATGACTGTTTTTTTATGTCACACCTAAAAATAGAATGTTTACGCTTTCTTCATTGATGATCGTTTTCATTATTTTTTAAACTGAAAGTATGAATTATTAGTTAGATTTCAGGTTTTGTAACTTGGTATACTTACCCTTTATCAAAATTAAAAGCATAGCATGCTGATTGTGAACAAATATAGTCATAAAACACAGAAATATAAAGTTACAAACAATGCGATGTCAGGATGTGCCACACCCGGGCCACACCCCCTCAAGAAAACACGTGTTTATTAAGCTGTTTATGTCACTTTACACCAGTAATTAAAATTAATTTTCAAATTTTTATCACTTATTGGGTAAGATTAAGCACATGTATACTGAAAATTAAAAAAAAAACAAAAGCAAATTCTGTTTTAATGAAGGTCACGGGTCAAGTTTTTTTTCCTTCTGTCAAGTTCATTGGAGGTTGCCACAGACTGACCTGACTTTGGAATTTTTTTTCAGTAATAATGACTTTACACAGAAAGTTAAAATATGCTAAATTAGCTTAGTTTACTAGTGTTCTAGCTATTATTGATACATTTTTAATAAAAAAAATCATTCTGTAATTCTCATCAAAAAGCCTAAGTTATAATATATAGTTAGGCCTATTACAGTACTAAGAATAAACACTAAACACCTTTTACTTTTTGAGAATTCATAAGTTGGGTGCAAATTATATATAATCATAGTAAATAATACTATAAGCAATAAAACCAGTACTTTGAGGAGGGGTATTTCATTGCACTGATGTCTTAATTTCCTTCTTAAAGCAGATCCCACTTAAAAGTTACAACTTGAACTACCCCCCTCCCCCTCCACCCCAACTTGTAAATAAAATAATTATGAAGTCTTTTTCCCACAAGTAAATTATTTGGGTTAATGAACTTTTTAGTTTTTCTTTATTAGTTAGGCCTATTATTCACTGCAAATATTCAATAGTTTTTAAAAAAAAAAGGCTTCACAATCCCTTGTTCACTGCATGACCACTCACGAAGGCCCACAATGCACTATTCTATAAATTATCATAGCAATGATTCTTGGTATTCTAGTAACAATGTTCATATTTTATCCAGTTCCTCTTTAATGCATTTTACTACTTAGAACTTTTGTATAGAAAGATTTATTAAATTATTACTTTTAGGTTCATAACACTGACAAAGAGTTCCGTATTCGTTTGGATCTACATCACTTCAGGCCAGAGGAAGTGAAAATTACATCAGACAACCAGAAAGTGACAATTAATGCTAAACATGAAGAAAAACAAGACAACCATGGCTTTGTTTCCAGAGAAATAACTCGCATTTACAAGCTACCAGAGGTAGTGTATATGATCTAGATTTTACACCATAGTGCTATGTCCTAGATAGTTAGGGCACTCCAAGGTAGTTATGCGGATATTGTTTAAATTTAATTTAAAAAAATTGTAATTATACATTATAAATGTCTAATTTTTCTATCACTTTTCCTCAGGATGTTGATGCAAAGTCAGTGACCTCTACAATGAATGCTCATGGTGTACTTAGCATCAAAGTTCAAAAGAAAGCATTGGAGGAGCCAAAAGAAACCGCCATTCCTGTAACATTTGGTTGAATTCTTTAGTTTCCATCTCATCATTGATATCATTTTTCATTTTGTTGTTCACCAGTATTAATTTTCTTTATTTTGATATTAAATTTCAAAACGAAAATTCAGGACTTCCTTTTTTCTTTGAATTAGTACATTGTCTAAAGATAATTTCAATTTCTTTACACTGAACTTGTTTCATTTATGATGTATTTGGACTCTATAATGTACTTCCCTGGCCACATACAGAAGTAATTTTAAAATGCTGTGCTCTACCTTGACATGATGTTATATTTGAGAAAATCAATAACTGTGGTAGTTAAAAAAAATTTCTGTAGTAAATGCACATATTTAACATGACTGTAAGGCACTTAGTCCCTAATTTTAGGCCTTTGTGGCAAAAAGTATAATTCTCAAGTAGTATAGTAAAATCATTTTAACATATAAAATTTGCCTTACCCTTTGTTTTAGATCCTAAACTGTTCTGTTCACAACTTTTTAATCCGAGGTCCTCACCATACTATTGTTAACAAAAAAAAATTACATTGCAATGGTTCAAATAGCTTCATGATTGTCCGAGAATTGGTCCTACTTTTTATATGGTTTAGCTAGCCACAATTCAGCCCACATGGAACTTGCATGGTGGCTTTTACTTTACAGCATTTGCCATAGGATCATTTCATGAATATTGAGTATGCATATCAATGCCAAATCATCTCAGCTTCTTTCTGAATTTAATTTCACTATTAATTAAAGCAGCACTAATTTATAAAGACAGTTCTGCACTAAAACAAATTACTCCCATTGTTAGCAACATGAAAGATTATTAGGAACATGTTCGGAATCACTTACTTATTAACATAATCATCAGCAGTAATGAGAACAAGAATGAATGCAAAAACTAGCTCAAGGATGTAATAATTTTACCCTTCCTTCCCCTGCCCATTATGTCCAATAATGATCATGCACTTAGGCAGCCTACTCAACCATGCATAAATCAAGTGTTGTATGTAAATTGACTTGTAATTAAATGGGCCAAGAGTACTACTCTTCCTTCCCCCCTCCCCCCCTAAACCCTCAATATAGCAAATAGTGGGTTTTTTTGGTGTGAAGTTGGTGCACTTAATTTTTAAGAAAAATAAAACTCAAACACGTGCACAATAGGGATAAATAATTTAGTTTAATCTTTCCTTTTATTGGTCATTTTGCCATATTTGTCTGGATAGAGGGACTCATCAGAGGCGATACCCAGATACTTGTACACCCTTGTCAATCCTTCAGTCAGAGTCAGCCTATAAAACTCCAGCCAACAGTACAGGACACCAAGAGAGCAGTAAACTGACGTCAGCAGCAGTGGCAGAAAAGGATAGCGTTTCTCTATGCCGAACATCCAGAAGCCAATGCTATTGAATAATCCTAATGCCAGCAACCCCCAGATGTAAATGCTCTCAGTGAGGTTTAGTAAAGGCAATTGCAATAGCATGAGGGATTTTAGCTGGATTTCACTCTTTGTGAAGCTTACACTTTTCTTTGGGCTCCTGTAAAAAAAGATGTTGTAACAGTTGAGGATTGTATTAAATGTGAACACGGTTATAAGATTTTGATTATCCAAGCTGCACCAACCTTGTTTCAAATATAATAAAGAATTAACTTACCCATAAACATTATCCAAAGCTTTGAAGGAAAAAATACAGCTTATGGCAAGCAGAAGCACCTTTAGAATATTTTCTGAACAGATGAAATAAAAAAATCAAATGTGCAATAATTTATATATTATCCTATAGCTAATTATAACATTGTGCAAATGTCTAGCAGTATTGAATCTATTCCTATATTAAGATAGAATTCAGTTATCTAAAAATTCAATGCATTAACAGAAAACTTACCAAAGGGTGTAAAAAGTAATGGAAAAAGTGAATAAAATCCTGTTGTGGCCAGAATCAAGTAGAGCTTAGCATCTTGTTTACTGTACATGACCATTAATCTATATACAAAATTTTAAGATAGAGAGATCAAAATAAATCCATATTGGTCAAGCTAAAAAAAAAAAAACGTATAACATCAGCATAAATGTAAGCATTTTAACACGTTTTTCTTAACTCAGCTTCGCGTTTGTGGATTTGTTTGTTTGTTGTTAAAATTGACATCGAAAATTAGCCCACTTCTGATTGCTCAATAGATCTGAAATTTGGCATGTAGGCTACTTTCGCCTAACAATTTCAGATGCAATCATAAAAACTAGCAATTAGAGACCGTAATTAGCTTAATTTAATTACGCCCCAAGGACCATAAAATTGAGGACATGATTTCTAAAGATACCGACAAGACTGGAGGCCTATTGGCACAGTTACTTCGGCCCCAATCGATGTGAGCGCGCTGGCCGTGATCGTATAGTGGTTAGTACTTCGCGTTGTGGCCGCGACAACCCAGGTTCGAATCCTGGTCGCTCAAGATTTTTAGTCCGTGTATTTATAAACACTTAGTCAAGTCATACTTAATCAAGTCATTAGATATAGTAGCAAATAAACTATATAACAAACTTTTTTAAAAACAACGTTTTTCATGTGTAGCAACGGACTAAAAAGGAGAAAATAAAATACTTAAAAAAAACTTTTTTAAAAACCACGTTTTTCTTGTGGACTAAAAAGTAGAAAATAAATTTTCATACATTTGATGACAAAAAACGTGGGTCGGGCAGATGGGTCGGGAAATTTGATGGTGAACGTACCCACGTTTTTTGTCATCAAATGTATGAAAATTTATTTTCTACTTTTTAGTCCACAAGAAAAACGTGGTTTTTAAAAAAGTTTTTTTTAAGTATTTTATTTGTAAGTGCTTGTGTCTTTGTGGATATACAGTAAGGCATTTTATAGCTTTTACTGCTTGCTTGATTTGTTTCATAACCCACAGAATGAGAATATATTATAGTTATAGTTATAGCCTTGAACCTATTTTAGTGACACATACTTGTATTAATTTTCTACATGAATGATAAAAAAAATGCCAGATACAATTAATGACACATTTTATTTTTTAAACTCACGTCATTGGAATAATAGCCATCAAAATGGCCTTTTCATGAACATGCCACCCAAACATGTAGGATGTGAGTGCACAGATGATCACAGTTCTGACAAATGACACCTTTGTTCTTTGATGCCACAGGTTCAACAGAGCTGGCTAGAAAAAAGTATTACACAATGATCAATTATTCACTGCTGCCTACCCCAAAATGATTTTTTTAGTAACAAAACTCATTTTCTGTAAAAATTACCCTACTATAAACAGCTTTTTAAAGAATAATACTTTTTACATGCATTATTTAAAAATCAATTAAATATAATGTTAATTATCACATAATTTATTATAATAATATTGATAACAAACTATACTGCAGTTAGTAGCAAGTCAACTGATTTAGTACGATGAAATGCACCTAAAAGTACCAGACAGTGGAGCTGTATGTAAACAACTGGTCCAGAAAACAAAGTTATTAAAAAATCAGATTTTTAGTTTACCCTATAACTTGATGTGTCATGAAATGGTAGAATAAACTGTACAAACAGGCAATTCAACAATATTGGTAAATAAGGAAAATATAGGGGTCGGCGTGGTCGAGTCGGTAAAGCTCATGGTTGCTAAACCGAAAAGTCTCGAGTTCGAACCCTCGGGCAGATGAGGCTCGTTAGCTGGGGACAGCCACTCTTCTAGGAGAGACAACTCCAAAAATTAAACAACTGCTGCCTTGTAGATTGTTCTTGGTTGGACAAAGGCTATGGAAGCAAATCCAAAAAGAAAAGCAGGCTGAAATCGGAGTCAATGGCCTCAATGGCGCATAACCAGTTGACACGTAACGCTTAATTGTGTTGGAGGCGTGGTCGAGTCGGCAAAAAGCTCATGGTTGATAAATTCGAACAAAGTCTCGAGTTCAAACCCACTGGCAGATAAATCTCGATCCCCTTCAACACTAATAATTAAGAACGAAGAAGAAGAAGAAGAAGAAGGAAAATATGAATCAAATATTTTCAGACTTCCGTAGAGTATTAAAGGAATTAAAAAATGTAAAACTATTTTTAGCTTTTCATTGTCTTTGCAGCTTAGCACTGTATTAACCCTAATGTCAACTTAATATTACAATGTTTATTAATTTAGCATCAGATATCTGGTAAATAGCAAGATTTTTACAGTTGTATGGATATTTTACTAGGCTACCACTGCTATATTTTATAATTTCTGAAAAGAAGAAACGGTACATTGAACTTATATGCAAATAAAGTCTACACACCATAATTCCAAATAAAACCACAATTAGAGAGAAGCCTGCAGGAATACTTGGTAGCGCCACATGACTATACTCTTGAACAAGTCCTGCGGTCATTGACCCAGCTGGAACTTGACTTGAATTTAAAAGGCCTAGTTTAACACCTGTTATGTAATTATAGAGAAATTGAATAGTTTTTATAAAATTTTAAAAGGACGTTATTAAAAAAATTAAATATATTTTGAAAAAAAAAAGTATTTACCAGCTACTGTTAAAACTTTGTCCACCCCACTGTACAGAGCCCAAAAATTAGGAGCCCAATAGGCATGAACTAAACCTCTTTTAAATGGAAAAAGCCTGGATAAAACTTGACCCACCTGTTGCTAAATTAGAAATGAGAAAACCATAAAACAGAATAGATCCTTGGTAATCACAATAAATTCAAACATGATTATTTACATAATTAATTAAATTTTTAAGTTATACTAAATACTATTTAACACTTACAAAATATATGAATGGTCCAAATGAAAGAACAAATACCCCAGCAACTACTGAGGCAAGATTAGCTAACTTTTTAAAATCAATTCTTGAAAGTGATATTGGTTTGTTCTCTGCAAATGAGATTTTAAAAATTTATACAAGTAAAAATGAAACAATAATCAAAAAAGTAGTTTTTATAGGAGAAATAATTGAAGTTATGATAGTAAACAAAATTCTTTTAGTTAAATTTACAACTATTACTAGTTCTCACCTTGAAAACAAAATGTCCGCAGCAGATAAATAAAATATGCCGGGGCAATGTACACAAATATGTGCTTCATATTCAATAATACAGCAAACCAAAATGCACTATGTTCTGGCTTATCCTGGAGTAAACAATATTAAAATGTTAGGCTAAAATAGTTTTTTCAATAAATAATTCATGTCAATAAATCTCATAAAAGACAGGTAGATATCTAATAGATCTTTACTTGCAGTATTCTTGTGATAGACAGTAGCATAATCCCAAACAAAATTCCATTGTATTGAAAATGAATATCTATTTTCTTGTAAAGGAAAATAAAATTGTGAATGCAATTTTTGTTCTTGTAAAGGGATATAAATAGGCAGGTACAACACTAAAACAAACAAAAAATGGATAATAATTTAATACAAATCACGATGGCCTAAATGGCATACAGATTGTTGTACAATTCTATGGGATTCTGCATTTCAAAACTCTTAAACGTTATTCCAAGATGAGCGAAGAACATTAACCAAGCCATCATTAATGCTATTTGTTGTTTTTAAAATGGTTCAATCTATGATTAAAGGATACGGTCAACAATAAATAGGCCTATGTTGAATATCAGCAGGATAGGGACAACTGCCAAGTTGAATGGGCTATTCTTTTTGCCATCTCGCTTTATCAGATGGCCACAGTTTTGAAACCTAGATAAAAGAAGATAATTTAAGTGTACATAATCTTTAATGAAGGAATATATTTTAACCATTGCAATCATATATTTTCATGATTAAACATGTTTTTCCTAATTAATTACTTATACAATGTTAAAATTTATTTACATATTTATTTTTCAAAAATGTATACATTTTTACTTACTCATAAACTGCAAAATAGTAAACAAAATCTGTAAATATAACGGATAGTCTTTGGAACAGTACTGTTGATTCACTTGCATAGTTAAGGTTTGAGACTTCAAGCATTTTTGAGTCAAACTGCGTGGCAATATAAGACAAAAAGCATTCAAACCAAGCAAATAGAGGGGGATAATCCAGAGTCCATTGGGAAGTTTCCTGCAGAAAAAAATCAAATTAAAGTTATTTTCTTTTAGGCTAGCTCAACCAGTTCATGAATACACAATACATATGACACACATGCTAACAATTTAATAGTAAAATTAATATAAAAACGATAGTAACTATGGAAAATAAAAGTGACAAGAAGACAACTAAAAACTTACATCAGTGTACCATTGGCGCACAGGAAGATTGTGTGTGATAGCAAGCCAATTTCTATGTACCTCAAAATCAGTTGACCTGCTGTGAAGGTTAATAAAAGGATAATATATAATTTGAGATGAATTTCTTTAGGTAAGTATTAGTACATTACTGTTATATTAAGTTTTTTTATGCTGGTGTCAATGTTAATAAGAAATAAGTCTAAATTCTAGTACTAAATTTTAAGTTTAGCCTCACACTAATAAGCTAGTATTGCTCCAGTTACATTTGTTTTCTGAGAAGCCTTTAAAATTTAAAAAATTAAAGCAAATAACATTACGGGGGATGGCAACAAGGGATATAGACATAGTTTTTTATTAATTTTTAAACACTTAAACTTTTAAAAATAGAATAGAATCTTGCAGAAAAAAAGAACTGCGCACCAAGTGAACAGCAAACAATGTGTGAATAATAGTGCGGAATATTTGTACTTTATAAATTCATAATACATTTTTTCAGAAATCGGAAATAGCGTAAAGTACTACTTACGGTCAATGGAAATTACTCAAAATTTGACAGAAGGCAGAAAATTAGATCTTTTACTTATATGTGAAATTTCATCTATCTAACTGAAACAGTGCTCAAGTTATACTTATAGGCTTTTGAAAAACCAGAAGTAGAATAAGTTCCACTTCCAGATACCAGAGATGGCTGAAAAGTTGATACAGAACAACAAATTTGATATAATACTTATATAAGAAATTTCATGAACCTAGCTGTAACGGTACTCAAGTTATCATGTTCACAGACACACATCCACACAGACATACGGAAAAAATTGCAAAACTATGTTTTTCCAACTCAAGGATTGGAAAAAATTGCAAAACTATGTTTTTCCAACTCAAGGATGTGTAAAACGTCAAGATTTGTAAAAATCTCAATTTCAATTTTTTCAGCAAGATCACAATATTTCCACTATACTTCGTATACGAGAAAGTAAAAACATCATTTCAGAATGTATCTAATAACATTTTGCAGAGGAAGGACATACATTTTTTTTTAGTTTGAGGCTACAATTTTAATTTACAAATTCAAAGCTATAATGTATCTTTGACATTCATGGCTGTTACAATTTTGGAATATTAACTTTGATTGCTGAAAATACACTTATTTTGTGTTTTAAGTCAAATTAACAGCCTTCGTACTAGATTTTAAATTAAAATATTTTCTAATTTATTGCAAAGCATATCCATTTAAAGTTAACAAAACAATATATAGGCCCTAGCAAAAAAAAAACATTAAGCTAGTTGTTTTTGTTTTGGTTTCCTGTGTTCAATTTTGTGTTTAATGTTTTTTTCTATTTAAATTATTTTAAAATCAGTAACATTTTCTTCCTCTTCATTCTTAATTGTAATGTTGGACGGAATTTTCCTCCAACACAATAAAGTATTACATCAATACATGTCAACCTGTTATGCATCTTATAGGCTATGTCATTGACTCCAATTTCAGCCTTCTTTTCTTTTAGGATTTGCTTCGAAGGTCTAAGTCAATCCAAGAACAAACTACAAGGCAGCAATTGTTTGATGTAGGAGTCTTCTCTCCTAGATGGGTTGCTATTCTAAGCTATAGAGCCTCATCTTCTCGGGGGGGGTTTGAACTCAGGACTTTTTGGTTTTACAACCATGAGCTTTACTAACACGACAATGCCTCAAATATTTTTAGTTGTTACATCTCCAAATTGCTTGTGTAGTGAAACCCATAGATCCCATTGACCAACGACAGTGTTGACAGAAGAAGGTAGGTGGATGACACTGGGGAAAAACTTCTCTGTTGCTGCAAAGGGTGACTGAGTAGTTTTTGGAAACATGCCAAATTTACATGGATTCAGGACCAAACGAGGCATCAATATAGATAGACCCTGAAAATGCAGCTCTGTCAAAAACCAACCAAACTGATGTAGCCAGGACTATCGGGCTTAACCTTCTTAGGACGACCAGGCTGATCTATCAGCCAGGTGTCAGCCGTGATACTAGAAACCACACGATTGGCTTTCTAGTATCATATCAGCCAATCAGATTGCTTCTAACTATTTTAGTAATAGCTAGCTCTTCAATGGTGGCTTCCATTAAAAGTTAGCCTCATTGTTTTGTTTTTTATCAATTTTTTTAGTGCCATGAGTTCTATTGTAAATTTTACATGTTAAACAGTCCAGTCGTCAAAATATACTTAGAAGTTCTAATGTAGAAATAATAATCAGTAAATTAGTGCAGATTATTGAATAGATGTTTGTGTGTGTATTTAGAAATAATATTTTAGATATTATACAGAGAGAAAAAAAGTTTTTTTTTAATAAAAAATGTACTGTAATTTAGTTCAGTCAAATTTTTTTTGGGCATAAATCAGGCAAATCAGAAAGCTCACATATAAATATGTTGAGGTTTTTATTAGATTTATAAAAATCATATTAGCTGATTCAATTTCCTAAAATATATATTTCATGCATGTAAAACAAGTAGTTTATTTTTTTCAAAAATTTTTTGTGATACAAGTGCAAAACATGAAAGTAGTCTCCATCTTCTTGGCACCGGCTCTCTAATAAAGCTATGTCTTAAGAGGGTTAATTAATTATTAGTCTATTAAAAAGTCTTGGTCATCAAGAATCAAAATCATGATTGATGACGATGCCGGTTCTAATCCTTTTAAATAGGCTTTTTGGTGAGAATTTCTAGATTGATTTTCTATTAAAAATTTAACAATAATAGCTAGCCCACTAGTAAACTAAGCCAATTAAACATATTTTAACTTTCTGTGCGAAGTCATTATTACTGAAAAAAATTCCAAAGTCAGGTCAGCATGTGGCACACTCCACTGAACTTGACTGAAGGAAAAAACAGAATTTACTATTGTTTTTTTTTTAATTAGTAGTAAAAATGTGCTTGATCTTACCCAAATAAGTAAAAAAAATTGAAAATTAATTTTAATTACTGTAGTAAAGTGTGATAAACAGCTTAATAAACACATGCTTTCTTGAGGGGGTGTGGCCCGGGTGTGGCACATTGCAATTGGAACTTTATATTTCTGTGTTTTATGACTATATTTATACACAATCAGCAAGCTATACCTTTGAAAATTGATAAAAGGTAAGTATACCAAGTTACAAAACCTGCAATCTGACCAATAATTCATACATTCTATTTTTAGGTATGACATAAAAAACAGTCATAAATCTAGCCAAATGATTGGACTCTTGCGCTGCACACTTTTTCCCGCGCCTCATTTTCACCAAAAAAGATTATAATAAAATGGCATTATTGAGGGGTGATCATTACCCACGAGCACATCTCATAAACCCCATAAATTATTACCAGTTAAATGTAATGTGTGTTAAATTAATGCTTTAAAGTTTATAAGTCACATAAGCTGGTCAACAGGCCAAGCTATATTTCAGAGTTATTTGATTTAAAAGACAAGAACACATAGATCTAGAGCTATTTTCACTTACACGCCGCTTGCGAGACAAACAAAGCAATTAGGTCAAAAGTACATCTGCGAATTCTTAAATATTAATAAATAACAGACTGAAATAGAAACGAATAGCTCCGTTTTCTAAAATTAACTATGGCATCATAATCAATAGTTTTATCCCTCTACTGTTTAGTGAAAGTCGCCATTTTAGTAAGCGCATGAGCCGTGAGATGCCACGAAAATGACAAACCCGCAAGCGTTGAATCGAACAGCCTACTACTACTACTTACTTAAACTACTTTAGTACTTTTAACTTTTAACGGAGTTTAGTTTAGAATTTAAATTTTTAACTGAATTTAGAAGGATGCAATTCAGGTGTTCGAAAGGGGACAGAGGATGATGGAGTTTACAGATGCATGTCGTTAACAATCAAGTACAATGTTAAATGGTAAGTAAAAAGCCATGAACCGTACTATGAGGGTATTAAAAGCAGTTTCACAAAAACGGCAGCGCCTGCCAACGTCCAAACAGCCGCCATTTTGACGCAATACTACAGTTGCATTAAACTTTTATTGTTAAGAGCTCGGGAGGGTTTATTGTTTTTCTTTAAATGTAAACAGACACGTACTAAGCTAACTAGTAACTCAACATGTAGAAAAAACAATTTATGTTAATATTTTGTTTATGTACGCTTAAGTGATTAAATGTTTGTGGTAAAATCTTAGTTTAGCGTCGTAAATTCCAACTTAGCTAGTAATGTGCGATGAAGGTAACTAATGAATATTTCTTTCATTTGGCGATATTTATGTCATATTTTACATAATATAACAGATAATTGAATACCAAATCACAATCCAAGACCAAACCAGTCATAAATATCCTGGAATAAACTTTAAACTACCCCGTTCGAGACAACAATGAGTAAATACAAGCAGCGGCCATGTTTTAAAAACAATAAATTGTCTATTCGCATGTCTTTTGTGTTGATTTTGTGGTTTAATATGATTGTTTTGTATTGTTTTAATATATACCGGGGGTCGTCCATAAATGACGTCACACTCGTAGGGGGGAGGGGGGCCCGTAATTTTGTGACGTTGTGTGTGAGGGGGAGGGGGAGGGGTTCAGATGGTGCGACATCACACTTTAGCATTTTAAAAAAGCAATGTTACAAAACGAATTTTAGACGTTATTTTGCGTTTTAAAAAACTGTTTTAATACATTGTAATAACAATTGATTAAAATACTCTATTTTGACAGAGTTCAGACAAGATTTTGGAAAAATATAGCTGTTAAAAAAAATTCAACTGCAATTTTGAGGGGGGGGGGGTGTGGGATGAGGTGTGACGTCATTTTAGGGGGGGGGTCTGGCTTTTTGTGACTACGTTTGACGGAGGGGAGGGGGGGGAGGTAAAAATCGTCAAAAAAAGCGTGACATCATTTATGGATGACCCCCTGTATAGTAATTTTTCTTTTTTTAAAAATATAGTTGACATGAATGACTAATAGACCATATCAGACTTAATAGTGTGCATCCAAGACCACAACAATTGTTGGGAGGTCGAACTTTTTAACACTTTATTTGCAGTAAGCAAATCAATATTAGATCGCTCATAAATGACGTCGCTCTTAAGATAGTAATGACAGCGTGCATTATTACAGAGCAAACATATGAACATATTGTTTCAGATAGAAATTGTGATTTGTGGTGGGGAGAGGTTGAGTAGAACTCAGCGATGTGATTTTGGAGACTGGTCAGGTTTTTTCTCTCGTGAAAACGGGATGGTTGTGGGAGAAAGACCAGCTGTAGAAGTATGACGCGTCATTCATTGGTGATCCATTTTCTCAGTGGGGACGAAAGAACTATTAAGAAAGGTCAAGAAATGTCAAAAGCTTGCCGAGTCGCATTTCTTGAACCCTACCTTTTTCATTCCCCCACTTAGCACATCGTCACCGAGTTAACGCTCGCACGTGACGTCATGTAGCGGTACCGCCGACCGTTAGGCTAATTTTATAGAAAAAAAAACAATAAGCATTGCCTTTTTGACGCTTTCGCGACGTTTAGTTTGATTACATAAGTTGGTGTTCATTAAACAGCCCCTAACACATCTATCACTCGTCCATTTAAACGTACGTAGTTATTTCTGCAAGCTTGCTGTCTTGAGACTTTCGGCCCTTTAAAAATGTATTAAGCTCACACCGTATAGAACTAGACTACCCATATTAAGCTCCAAAAGAAGCTTGGTGAAAACAGGATGGCCGTCCGATTTTGTAGCTGCTCTGCGCTTTTTAAAAACCACAATAAACGATAAGATGACACTTATATTAAAGTAAATTATAGTTCTGAATCTTGATACATTAAAAGTGATATTCGGAAATTAAGAGCCAGACCAGACAGTCAACATATTTCAATTTAAGTCCAAGAAAATAAATTTCCTCAAACGATGGAACATTACTAAATTTTCGCGCAGTTTAGCGAAATTGAATTTAAGTATTTACGTCATCTTACAAAGCGCGATAGCTTACTGGTGCTCTAACGTGGCCCATGCTAATGGCCGTATTCCTAAAACCCACATTAGACGCGGCTTATTCGTCGGCAGGCATTTGGTGGCAAGCCTTTTTGACGGGGATAATGTGTTGCGGCCGTTTTGCCGAATGTCTTAAACTAGCAGGCTTGCGACATTTGTGTTTTAAGCAAGGTATACGTATACTAATGCTTATTTATCGTTATTTTGATTGAACAAAGCATTATAGAGGTTCTCCATTAATCACCTAGGTATTTTTCCCCGTTCACCTCCTTTCATGAGACCGACACGTCATAAATTGCAAAGCCGCCTGAGTTGACGTCACAAATCTTCACTCACTCCCGTAGCAAATCATATGTGACATCATTGTGACATCATTTATGGACAACCCCATATCACTCACTTGTGTACTTGATATTGACGATTTGACAACAAAGGATAACCAAAATGTGTCTGGCAGGTGGAGACTTGGGATCGACCATAGTGACAACACGCACTTAAGGGGTGGACGGGCTCATTGTTTTAGATGATGTTTTACGAGGGAAGCTGGTGGATAATACATTTGGTCTCTTTGTATATGTAAATGATGACAAACATTTAATGTTGTCAAAATTATGGTTAGAGATCTTAGATAAGGCAGAGTGAAGCGTAATTTTTTACATTATGACTTGTTGTGACATTGACGACAAACATTGAAAGGTTGAGGGGAGTGCAAATCGAAAGTTTGAGGGGGGGGGGTGCAAATGGAAATCTCGAGGGGGGTGGGGGTGCAAATTGAAAGTTTGAGGGGGGTGCAAATCGAAATCTCGAGGGGGGGGGTGCAAATCGAAAAGTTTGTCCCGGGAAGGGTCGCTACGCCTCTGAGTAAGAAAAAACGTGATTTAATACATGGATACAAGTTGCATCTCACAATGCTTCTAGAATTAATAAAGTTGTTTGTTAGGAAATTCACATTTTAAAAAATGCTTTGTAATACGGACTATACAACAAGACGATCATATTTAAATACATTTTCATATGAATAGAAATGAAAGGGAAGCTACTCTCAATAACATTTTCTTAAGATGGCTGCTGTTTTTAATAGCAAATTTACTATCTCGAACAGGGTTGATAAAAATTAATTTCAGGATATTTAAATTGATTTAACCATCAATGGTGATCTATTATTCAATTATTTATAATATTTTATTAAAATATACGAAAATATACTCATATTTAATGACATATTCATTAATTCACTCTCTCCCACATTACTAGTTTTGGCCGAATTTACGACGCTAAACTAAGATTTTACCATGTTTGTTTTGATTGAATTTTTTAAAATACAATATTATATGCTTGAAACAAAAAGCTTTCTTATTTTTTTTTATTACACATGAGCAATAGTGTAATGTAGGCATAACACCGTGTTTACCCTTGCGACATGTATACTATACATGTCTCGAAAAAAACAACAGAGCAAGTATAATATTATAAGCTACACATGTTCCGTGGGGGAAACTTGTTTTCAAATAACATTACCTTTTTGCCAGTTTTTAAAAAAAGATATTTATAGTATACACGTCATAAGTGTAAACACAGTGTAGGGGAGACTGCTCAAACTTCGACCGATTCGTTTTCGTCCGGTCCGTAGGTTCGCTTCTCTTCGTTATAACTCGTAAGCTAATCAACATAGCGGTTTCATTTTTTCACTATTAAAAACGTTATCATTTGCTGATTGGTTCAGTATAAATAGTTAACCAATCACAAGGGAGAATATAAATGCTATATGCAAGGCTAGACACTGACCCCACTTTGTTCTGTTTGGTTTTAACTTCGACCGGGTTGCTCTAACTTCAACCAGCGGCTTGCTCTAACTTCGACCGCTATAAGCCTATATATAAATTATTGTTTTATTCATATGGGAAGAGGCTTAAAATTGTAAATAGATTAGGGCATTATAATAAACAATATGCAGATCTATGTTATGGTACAAATGATATTTAATTTGTAGAAAATAGAGACGCAATAATGATATTTAAACCAGCTGGAGATGGGACAGAAAGGGCAGGATGGGGACATGGATCGTTAGGTCCTTCAATAATTATGTCATCTTGTGTTGTTTTCAGTTATATTTAAGTATAATGAAAAAGAAATGCTCAGCTGATTAAATTATTTAATAAAACTATAGATAAACGTGATAGTACATGCAAAGTTATGTTTTAGGGTCAAGTTTTTCAGTCGGTCGAAGTTAGGACCATGCCAATTTCAAGTGGTTTTAACTTCGACCGATTTGTTTTTCAATATTATTTTTTACATTTTTGTTTAAATTAAAAAAATAAAAATACACACATATAGGACTGCCTTTTTTACAAACGCTTTTTTAATTTTTAAAATTTTATTGTATGAATTAATTGTAATTTGAGCATTGTGAAGCACGACACCCCTAAGACAGCAAAATCTCAATTCGTGATTTTCACGTGATAAAATTCACTGACGAGTTGTGCCTTATATTTGCCGATCAGAAGCGCAGAAACGGTTAAAAATAGACATGACCTTAAAAAAAGAAAATCCCCCACAATTCAAATATGTTACTAAATATATAATTTATTTTGTCCAATGGCAATTATTAAATTTTTAATAATTTTTTTTCTGACCATACTAAGAAATCGGTCGAAGTTAGAACCCGGTCGAAGTTAGAGCAGTCTCCCCTAAGTGGGTTAATTATGGAAAACAAACAAAACAAGACATAAATTGGGATCTTTTAATTTAAAAAATGATTCAGTAATTTAGCAAACTATTTTATGATTAAGTACTTAAGGGTTTTAGAAATGAAAGGAATGTACTGGTAAAGGAAGCATGTCACTAAAACAGCAGTCCTATATAATCTTAAAAAAAAATTATACTCAAATTCATAAACAACAAATATATTTTAAAAACTAGCATTTATTTATTAAAGGACTACATTTCAAAATGGGTATTGTCTACATCATTAAAAATATAGATTATGGAGCACAGTGCTTTGTTCAAGTATTTGCATTCATGTTTGTGTTTTCTCAAACATCCATATTGACATATAAACATTTAATTTGATATTTTATATATTCCCAAACCCCAGTCAGCGCAGGATACATGCTACTTAATTAGCACAAAAGTCACGGCCCTTTACAGATAAGTTTGTCTGAAATCTTAGTACAAGGTCTGGCCAGTATGGCTAGTGTAGAACAACTGCGTGAAACAAAAACTCAACAAAGGTTATGTGTTGACAGTTAAGATGAATGTATGCAGACTGCATTTGATAAAGAGCATCCATTTATCTTTTGACATAATTTGTAATAATACATTACTAATTTAGAAATCTTCACAAAAACAAATCTTTTTAACTATACTATCATTTAGAATAAAATAATGTCATAAATCCAATCCCAAAAATGGTATTGTATTCAATTAAATTAATAAAATATTAAAATATTGATAATTAACATAGCTCATTTAAAAAAAATTACAACCCTGAATAGCTAATATGAATACCAGTATTCTTGATCACAATATTTGACATGTAGGCCAATGTGCTCATGAAAATGAATCTGGAAAATTGTATACTCTTGGCATTGCATGCTTTTGAAAAATTGAGTACACATAATCTGTAAGGTAACAAATTACAGGTTAGAAAACAATAATCACATAGATCTGAGTTATAAATGTGAGATCAGTTCTGGAAAACACAGATAAAAAATAAATCATGCCATCTTTTGAAAACACTTTATTGAAAAAATTCAATGTAATTAAAAAAAAAACAACAACCAAAAACCAACATCTAATCAATCTCTATGATACTAGTTTTAAATGGTAATTTAAAAACAACTGTCTAATTTTTAAAAATAATTGCAACTGTTCCTGAAAATTTTATTTGCGAAAAAACCCATTACTAATTGTATGATTTGTAAAGTAAGATGATGATAGAAAACTAGCATCTTTAAAAAAACATTTTACAGTTGGATATCATCTATCTGGTAACCACTAGCTGAAACAAATGTAATTTGAAAGGCATAGGTGGTGAATATATGATATGTTATACTGATTATGCATTTTTAAGTAGAGCTATGACTTTGAACTGATGAAATTAGCGCATTATAAGAAATTATATTATCACATGTTTAGAAAAATAATACACAAAACTTCCTCATAAAATGGAAAGCATAGAAAGGAAAAAATCCCCACTATCATAGATGGCTAATAACTGTGCCCTAAGTATATAACAACACAACCACAAATATTTTTAAAATGTACACAGTGGTATTATCAAATAGTCTACACTTAAATTCAAACACAAAGTAAACATCAGAATCATAATTCCTAAACATAAATAAAGTAAACATTAACATTTTTGCCATTATAAATTCAAAAAGAAAATTTGAAAACACTTTATGTGGGTCACTTACTAGTGACAGAACAAGTAGGCTATGTCATATAGTTAACACCTTGCCCAACTGTCCATGAATTACAATTTAATTTATTTGTGCCTTCTTTTCATAAATTAGAAAAGCTATATATGTACAGTAGTATTACATGGTTTATTATTTGATATGTATATTAGGTTAAACGCATAAGCAATCACACATAATCCGAATTCCATGATGCTGCATTCTCAAATCCATTTTTACCATTACGGTAGTCATGGAATGCTTGTTGAATTTCCTCTTGGGTAGTCATGACAAATGGGCCTATAGAAACAAATTTTCTATGTAAACGTGATTAAATAAAGAGTTATGATAAATAGTAATATTAGTTTTAAGAATAATATAAACATAAATGTACTTTGGTATACGGGGACAAAAAAAGTAAAATTATTCAGTATTTTAAAAATACTTGCTTTGACATAAGAACACTAAAAAGGAACTTAAAATTTCAGGGTTTATTTTTTGTAGAAGTATTGTTTTATTTTGCACGTTAAGTTTTAATAGTTAAACCTCAAATTAAATTTTGAAATAAAAATAATTCATTATTTATTATTTTATGTATTCATTTACCATGTTGCACAACTGGCTCGCCAATGGGTTGACCTGAAATTATCACAAAGTGGCACGCTTCTTTTCCCTGAGAGATAAAAAATTGTGCATTTTAAATACTGGTCTTTTAACGATAAATGTACCTAGATGAAACAAACAAAACTGATGAAACAGGGTTAACTGGTTTTAGTAATATAAAAAATTAATTTATTACAATCCAAAAAAAAAACAACAAAAAAACTAGTTGTTAAATATAATCCTTGTTTGTGGCTTATAAGATAATAGTTAAAGTGTTGTTTTCATAAAGTTAGGTATGACTATTTATTACAAGGCAAAAAAACCTATCGTTTATCAAAACATTTTACAAACTAAGAGAGTTTTTTTTAATATATATAAATATTGTCAACATCCATGAAAATATTTGTCAACTGTTTTAATAGATAACTTAAAATGGAATTAAACAATTTTTAATGTATATAAATATTGTCAACATCCATGAAAATATTTGTCAACTGTTTCAATTGATAACTTAAAATGGAATTAAACAAGTTTTTGGTCTTTAAATAAATTGGATTTAAAATATAAAGTGTACAAACCTTATTTATTGCATGAATGGAATCACCATCTTTATTGAATGTGGTGGTGTGGTGAGCTTTGCACAATTTTTCTTTACCTTCTGGACCTACAAGAAATAAAAAGTAAAATCTTATCTAAAGCCGTGTCTGTTTGAAAGATCAAGAATCAAACAATATATAAAACAACAATAAGACCAGGAATAATGTACACCAGTGAAAACTGGACACTTACAAAAAAACAGAAAACACAGAGGGAGAATAGAGAAAAGTAATAAAGAAGGAAGACAGCGATGGTTAGGTTATCTAACGAGAATACAGAACAACTGGGGAGTGAAAGTGTTATATAACTAAAACCAAAAAGTGAAAAAAAGACCAAAAGGCAGGCAAAGGCGGAGGTATTTGATGATGTTCTGGTAGATTAGAACTACTTCAGCTAGAGATCCAGATGAGGAAAAAAGAAAATGATGAACAAGCCTTAGTGGAAAATGGTGGCAAATCAGCCCAAACCCTTTTACAGAATGTAAAGCCAAAAAGATGGAGGATATGTTTATTTTTAATCTACACACTTTCCCCTATGGGAAACTATGAAACTTTACAAAGATGGATACAGAAAGGCTATGACTACATTTACCTTAAATAAAATACTTTGTTTCTTTGAACTAAAAGAATCCAATGCTTACCAAACCAAGCTTCTCCTGACAGAATGTAAACAAAGGTATTCCATTCTTTAGGCACAGGTTGATTTAACTCAGAACCAGGAGACATGTGAAAGTCTAAGTAGTATGTTGGTGTCCTAGTATAGACAGGTGACTAAAAACACAGAAAAGAAAATAATTTTTTTAACATAGTACGCTAAAAAACACACTAATTTATTTTAAAAATTTAGTCAGAGGGTTCAAATGAATTTAACAAAGATATTCATAACTTTAGTAAATACTAAACAAAATAGTATACACTTTCTCTGCTATGAGTTATTCTAAAATAAAAAAAAAATCTTACTTTAATCCCGAAGGCTTCTCCAGCAATAACTTTTACTTTGACTCCATTTTTCTCTCCCTTTGGTATATCTTTGTCTTTAAGCTCCTGATAAGCTGGTTCAACCATTTTGTCAGATTTTTTCAGATTTACCCACAGTTGTAGGCCCTGAGCAACTTCCTTGTCCCCGGGCATTTCACAGTGAACTATTCCTCTGCCTGCAGTCATCCACTAAATGTAGGAGAATTACAAAATCATTTAACTTTGTTTAGAAGTATAGTTTCCTATAAGGTCGGATGGTCAGCAAATGAAGTAGAGTTTTTCTGAGCTTGGCATATGAAGGAATTGTGTGGTCAGCATTATGCCCAGCTGCTTTTATCTTCACAGATTTGAGTCAGTTACCCTTCAGAGCTGAATAGTCTTGGGGTCATTATACTAATTTGGGTTAGCATTCAATTAGTAATTAATTGGCTACTGTTACGTAAACAATATAATTATCACCTAGGTCTAAACAAGTTTCTCAAAAAAACTGGATTACAGTTTCAGTTCTAAGACTGATTGTTTTCATTGAAACCAATTTTATATCCAAAACTGAAGAATTTTAAAAAACTGATATTTACATCTTATGCCTACAGTAATTTTTAATAACAGCCATGTAAAATGAAACAGGCAATTTTACCTGTAGGTCTCCAGCTTGTATTTTGCCTTTGTGGCCAAGGAAGTCTTGATGATTGGTTTCACCCTTTAACATATAAGTTACCTGAAAAAAAAACAGTGTGCATGTTAAGTTTATATTCCTTACAGAGTTATGGGCCTTATGATACCATCTTCTAAATTTAGAAAACAATTATTAGGGCCTTTAGATTGTTTTCATAGAACAGAATACATTTTTTAAGGAATTTTGTAATCATCTCAAATTTATAATCTAAAAGTATCAGAATACACTAATTAAAATTTATAATAGTTGGTGTAAGATTCTCATTTGTTACTTTTATTACAAATACTATACTGCTGTGTGTACAAATCAAGTTGTGAGATAAAAACTAAGTGGCATAGAAAAAAAATAGAGAGGTTTGTAAAATACTATCAACAGTGAAAAAAATGGTTAAGGCTTATCAACAAACACAAGTAAATGTTGTTAAACTTACTGTTTCAAACCCTCTGTGAGGGTGGTCTGGAAAGCCAGCTGGGTATTTACCACTAAATTCATCAAGCATCAGGAAAGGATCGAAGTTGCGAAGCTGAAAATAAGTATTATGAGTAAAGTTTGGATGTTAGAATTATGTATGTGTAAAGGTATTTTTTCTATCATTAAACGAAGAAAATGTAGCTGTTACCTCTGAACGTCCAATGCTTCGTCTAACTCTAGCCCCTACACCTTCATCTTGCTCTTTACTTTCAAAACTTAAATTCACAGTGCGAGACATTGTAATTACTTTGTTAGAAACTGAAAATTTTAGAGAAAAACAGTCATTTTTGCAGCATAGAATTTTTAAATTGACAGTCAAAATTCAGTGCTATGCAATGAGATAAGGCAAGGCATTCGGCTCATTTTCAAGTTTCAGTTTAGTTTATTTAATAAACCTTCAATAAACTTTAATTTAGAGAATTTAGACTTGAGTTTAGTCTTTTAACTAATTTTTAATACTTAATAACAATAGTTCATACTTTATTCTTTGCTCACAGCACAGTCAAGATAGACTCATTCATTAGTCAGACATTCAAAGAATTTTACTAATTGAAATAACGCAGTGCGAAGTTAAATATTTTTTTAGGCCTACTACTTTTATAATTTATATCTAATCTAGAGTCTACTCACAGCTTTTTAGATCTGGGCACGATGAAATTGAGTGTACAGCGGCTGAATGGTAAGCAAACGGTGAAAGAGGTACTTCGAGTGCTTGTGAAGAAGTCAAACAACAACTTGCTAAGCCACCGAAATGCAACAGTTTCGTTAACAAAGAATGAATTTTGTGAGGTCTCATGAGATCGGCTTCGGTATTTATACTGCAAAAATAATGTACGCCGATAAAGTAAAATCGTATTTTGAATTTCCAAAACAATGCCTTAAAAACGCCAGGATTTTGCTTAGTAATGGTTGTTTACAAGCAAAGAGATGATAAAGCACTTCTAAAAATAACTCGTGAGGGAGGGAACAAAAAAGTTTAATCAAGTTATCTACCCTGCAAACCTAGTTAAACAACACAAAAATGTTATTATAATTTGTTATTGTAATTTATTTAAAAAAAAAAACTTTTGCATTTTAACTTTAAGTAGGCCTAGAGATCTGGGCATAGTCTAGATCTAAACATTGCTATGTTTTCAAAGGAAAAAAGGTAGATCTGGGTATAATAAAAAAATAAAAATAATTAGGCCTAAATATAACTGAAAGACTTTTATTTTTAAGTAATTAATATTGTACGATTTTTTAAAAGCTGATTTTGCAAAGCTTATATTTAACGAAGCCAATTTTCCATCAGCCTGGTTGGTAAGAAGTTACGACGGTGAACTATTGCATGATCACGGACGGTTGGTTTGAGAGATAGGCCTACCACGGAAGTTATCGCGAGCAATCGATCGGGTTTAATTTTAAAGCATACATTATTTAAAAAAAAATATATATATTAAAAACCTTTATCAAAATAAGCTTTTAAATGCACTCAAAGTTAGTATAAAACAAAAATTGCTTTCTTTAAGCATTGGTCGCTCATGAAATCCCCTACATATTGGGCCACCAATGTTTTTATACTTTATTAAAGAAAGCAAATGATATATTTTCTTATTTTCAGTGCATTTAAAAACGTATTGTTATCAACGCGAAGAGGTGCATGGAAGAAACTCTGTCTACCACAAGTTCTATAAAAACATTAACTTGAATTTATAATTTTTGTTTATCCTGAAAGAAGAGGTCCATCAATACATTAGCCTGTGACAATGTGGTTCACGGAATTTTGCATCAAATAATTATTTAAAAAAAACAAAAACAAACTACAACCGTAGTACGACTGGATACACATATAATTTTTTGTCACATCCCCAAAATAATCAACATAAAACCAGCAGAGTATGGACATCAGTGATTAATTTAATTAAAACTTTTCATGTAATTAAAACATACAGAAACACACAAATAAAACATGATGTTGCCTAGCAACCTGGTGTGACTTCTAACCCCATCTGGGGTGTCAACTTGCCCCAATAACAATATTTTACATATTTTTTTCATAAATTTTTATTAAAAAGTGACAAAAGAAAAATGCTGGTATGTATATAATGTAGCCAATAGTTAGGGCTATATGTAGGCCAAAATAGAAAAAATACTTTCATAAAATATGTATTTCGTAAAAAATAAAAAATAAATTTGAAACCCCACTTTGAAAACTCGAATTTGAATTGCTTTTAAATTGACGAAGAACAAAATGGGCCAGTCGCTTCATTTTAGCTTTAAAAGTTTACTTTTATGTAAGCATCTTAGCGTTTTGAATTTTAGTTATCTGATCAAAAGCCACTTGTGTCTACTTGTCCCTGTGACTTTTAGCCCCATCTTCCCCTACTCCCTATTTCACATACTGGGCGTATTTACTGTCCGTCACATGTTAATGATATGTTAAGGTCAAGTACTATTACTAAACAAGAAGTTTTGTCCAGGCGATACTGGTTGGGCAGCTATACTAATACTATAGTCGCTTAATCTACATATATAAATCTCTATGTGGGGACCATGCGGGACACAACCACCACCACCACCACAACGTAAGCGCGCCTTGCCACCCCCGCCCTTCTTCTCTTGGCATATCGCCACCACCCCACCCCCACTAATCTAGTGAGCTGTGTTCACGCCAAATGTTTACAATCATAGAGTCGGGTCGAATTAGTGACGGTTATTAGGGGCAAATAATTTAGTTTTTAAACGATTTGAAACGTAGGGAAGGTAACTAAGAGGAGGCTGCGTTCACGAGGGGGGGGGGGGCGTGAAGGGTTATAGTCCTTCACGAGCTAGATTGTGATTTTAAAGCAAATATTTTCAGTCGCGGCATTGGTAGTGTCGAATTCACAAATTATGAATTACTGAAAAGTAGAAAATAAACAACTAAATAGCGGCGTATGCTACGCCGCGGGTCGGCTCGTAAATAGTAATACAGTATACACATAAGCTACAGAATCATAACTCTTCCAAAATAAAAAGGGAGAAAAAAACTAGAGTAAAGAACATTATATCGATTACTTCCCTTAGAATAAAAAACCGGTTGTTAAAAAATACTTAAATGACAAGTTAAATTTTTCTCTGTTTGTTATTTACTTTTGCTGATGCAGGCTTTGTTATATACGTACGATATGAAAAAGCTAGTTGTATTCACTGTATGGAGTAATATAGCCAGCAGAACACTTTACTTCCACCCTCCTTCTCCCCCCTACCCCCAAGTTTGCATTTGTATACAGATATAGTCCATGACAATCATTGCACGTAACTATGTCTTAAATGCATATCTTGACTGGAAACTAGTGCACATATTCTGTAATCCGTTACCCACATATCTTTTTATTTGTGAGAATTTAAAAATGTTATCTAACGCACAGTGTTTTTCGGTGCAGTTTTAATGTTTAATAAGGTATAATGTGCACGATTAGTATATTCTATATATTTGGTAAACACCCTTAGTTTTAGTTACCTGGTTCAATTACGTATAGTCCCACATCCACTACATATTTTCAAATAAGCATTCAATTTTCATCAACTGTTAATTAAGTTGAGATAGGTTTTTTTTTTCTTTACAAGATATTTATTTACATTTTACATTAATTTAAAGTTATATCAAATATAAATTGCAATTATTTACGTAGACAGCTAATGTTAAGTTTGATCCAATAAACTTTACTTCCATTAGCTGAATTTCGCAACAATAAACCAATGCAATGAATGAAATCTAATGTTGCAAGATAGAATTTTAAAATTCACTAATTCATTGAATAAAATATTTATGCTACAATATACAATTGGAAAATTTGTCAAAATTTGTGATATTTTCAAATTTTACAGCTGTGGAAATTTTCATTTTAAACATTATTAGTATCTTAAGATAGTTAAATTTAGTACAGATTTTTAAAATTGTATTTTTTATATCTTAATTAAAAAAGATTACTTCTGTCAATTACATACTACTGCAGAGGCGTAGCAAAAGGGGGGGGGGGGGACACGATATATGTCCCCGGGCGCCGACCTTAGGGGGCGCCAAAATGGGTTGGAAAAATAAATTGAAATCTTGAGGGGGGGGGGTGGTTGCAAATCGAAAGTTAGTCCCCGGGCGCCGGGAAGGGTCGCTACGCCTCTGTACAATTGTGTTAATGATGTGGCAAAATGTGAAGATGCCGATGTTGTTGTTTTTTGTGTAACAAAGCCTTAATTTTTTATAATGGACAGGTAATTTTAAAATCTGGAGGTTTCTATTCTGTATTAAAAATCAGTCTTCTTTCTGTTTGCCAGGTAAGTTTTTACATTAGCATTACTTTCAACTTTCTTAACTAATCCATCCACTAACGGATGTTTGGAAGTGCTGAGGACTCCTTTGTCTATCGTCACAGAGATTATATCATAGATGAAGAAGTCTGCAAGTGTTAACGTTGCACCAACAAAATATCCGGTTCCAGATTCTTTCAAAAAATTTTCAAACAAGTCTAAGTACTTGGGCACCTCTACTTCCTTGAGCTCTTTCTCAAGCTCACTCTTTTTAGCTTCATCTTTGTGAAACAAAGCTGTCATTGCTACTATTTGATAGTCAACTCCCAGCTGAACTACTTGATCCACTTTTAACGCATCAAGATTTCTTTTAGGATAAAACCCTGCTTCCTTGGCAATGTAAGCTGCTATTGCAAGGCTCTGACCAAACATTTTGCCATCTATATTTAGTACTGGTAGTTGCCCACAAGGCATGTTTGACTTCTCGGCGGACCATGTCTGGAAAGTGTATCTGATGTCCTCGTACTTGACGTCTGCTGCTGCCAGAATTTTAACCGTGTCACCTCAGCACGACCTCTGCCATCGAAGTAGATAAGCTTGATGTTTTCTAAGAGTCCTTTTAATTTTTATCAACCCTGTTATAGATATTAAAAACACCAGACATTTTAAGAAAATATTATTTACGTTTTTTTTTTTATTTTTTATATTGTTGTTTTGTAAAATGATTGCTGTCAAGAAAATATTATTTACGTTGATATAAGTAATGCTTACTGGGCCTCAAGAATGTTAAATGAATAAATTTTCCCCATAATCTAAACAGAAAGAAACAAAAAACATGAATATTTATAGTGTTTGTGTTTGAATACATCTGTTATAATAAAATGGGAAAACTGAGATTTACTTACAAATCTACCTTTGACTTTATGTTATAAAAATTATTTTTTTTTGTTGGAATGATTTGTTATTCGTAAAATAAAATGAAAACGTTTTCCGGCGTGCAGATTTTGTAGGTTTTAGCTAAAATTATCTCCCATTTAAATCCTCATTACTACTTCCCTTTGATTATGTCTTCTTCAGTAACCCAGGCTTTTTTTTTTTTGTCCAATTTTTTTTTTTACCGCCACTTTGCAAGAGCTCACCCTTGACAAGACTCACGTCTGCCCAGCTCCATCTTCATATCCTGTTTGTAACGGATTTTAACAGGCCACCGCCTTCCGTTTTAAATTTGTTTGTTTTAATTGCGATGGACGTTTGTAATCTAATCGCTTACCCCCTTTCCTTCCTAACCCCCCTACCGCCTACCTAACTCAACCACCTACACCCCCTATCCCTTCCCACCCACGGACTGAGTGCAAGGGTGCTCACACACGCACATACACATACACACGCTCATATGCACGCACACACAAATGCCAAAAGCCAAACAGCTGCGCCTTCGGCTACCAGAACAACAATAAACGAAACCATTATACCTAAACCCTAACCTGCACATCCGCTCGCGGTGCGAGTGGTGATGTCACCCCACCCCCACCCCACCCTCTCCACATGTTACCCGTGTAATTTCCTAACTCTACAGAAACTCTTTTTTTTCTAGTTCAAAATCTCGGTCAGATGTTTTCTCCAAAAAAAAAAAAAAAAGGTTTCTTTATTTCTCTCCCCTTTTAA